AATGTACATCTCTAATACAAATATTCATAATAATATCGATACTGACAGTATTACACTTTTTCTTTTCACTAATGTATTCATAAAAACATCATCAAAATTACCTACTCTAATCTCTATTTTATTTATTTTTATATAAAGATTTTGATTATATGGGAATTATTTTTTTTGTTTTTGCCAGAAAATTATTATTCTCTTTTCTTTTTAATGTTTCTTCTCTATGATTTGATTTTTTAAACTATGAATGATTTCTATTAGAAGGGGTTTTTGTAGATATTACAGTAATTTCAATAGTTGAAATCATAAGTCATTCGAAATTAGATCACCATGGAACACTTGGAAGCACTAAATGGCTGTTACGTTCTATTGTGGGATTTCTCAGCAGTGCGCATCCACGAAGAGTCCCACACTAGGACAAAACGACCTTCCAATTCTTCCAAGCTTTCTATGATGTTCTAGATTCAATTGACTCACGATCTCAACTATTCAAATTCTTAATGATTTCTTCATAAATAATGAAGTTGTTATTATATGTTTTTGTTTTTATCAAGATGATTTATCATGATTAATAGTTTTTTTTACTTTTTTCAATTAAAAGCTTTTAAATAATCCAAATTAAGTAGTTGTTCAATTATATTGAAGTCAATCGTATATTTAAGCAATTAAGAGTGTCTTTTTTTGAAAAAAAAAGAATCATTAAACTAGATCTTTCCCGTTTTATATACAAGAAAAATAAACGTATGTTATTAATAGATTACTTAAATAGAATAAAAGTTTGTTTTTCTTTTTTTAAAAAAGGATTTTTCCATTATTATTATTATTATTATTATTATTATTATTATTATTATTATATTATTATTATTATTAGTTTCTTGATTGGAATTGAGGTGTGAAATGTTTCAAAGATCTAATTACTGCTTTTTTAGATCTGCTCATTAAATTAGATTTACATGAAACATTGTATTCAATTTAGTTAAATATGTAAACATTGATTTATATTTAATAGTGATTTAATCTCTGATTGTCAGCCTATGCTCTATTGAGGGTAACAGGGCATAAGTAAAGTAAAAAATAAGTAGTCCTTTTTGAAATGAATGTTTACTTAGTAGATCCAGGAATCTTTCTTTTAAAGCAATATTAAATTATATTTAAATAAATTTTGGAAAAGAAAGTTCATCTTGTTGGATATGATAGTTAGTGAAGATGATTTAGTTCTCTGAAGTTGATGATCTTATTGAAAGATGATCATTGTTGTGCTGGACAACATGAAAATGGTCTATTTTATATAGGTGATTTCCATATAGACAGAACATTAATAAAAGCATTAATTTACGATACAAATTTTTTCTACTATTGTAAGAAGACTATAGAAGATTATGAAACACTAAATTTAAATATTTCTTGCAGCACTTGCTATACTACTGTTTGCGAAATAAGTAAACTAAATCTTAAGTAGAATATGATATTAAGTGAACTGTTCTGAATGGCGTATGATCGATCTGTGACACATAGGCCGAGAACCTTCTGATACGTTAAAGTTACTTTTCCCTTAATCCATTTCCAGTTGTTTTCCATATTAGTTTTCTATTGTTCGAGTAGATCTTGTAAGGCTTGGAAGCTGTTGTTGAGAACTATGTTTAATTCATTGAGTTTTTCAGTATCTGGAAGGAAGGTTCTTTCTTTTCCCAGTCTTGGGACCTGATTGTAATTACTAACAGAATCAATCATAAAATCTGTTAGAAAACCTACGAAGTAGATTGAAAGTGGGTCGGTACTCTCTGGAAAGGTGATTTCATTGTATGAGCAACTTAATTACAGTCTATACTGTTTGAAATTTGGTTATTATTCAACTGATAAACCGGGAGTTCTGAAACATTTCAATGTCTTTTTTTGATATCTTAATGTAGCCTGATGGTCGGAAGTAATCAACAGGAAACGTTTGAATCACCTTTCGTGTTATTTAGTACTCATCAGCGAGATATGCCAGTAACCTTGAGTGAACTGATGTTCGCTGTTGAACTTAATCCGTGTCTCCTAGCTTCACAGTCATAGACGTTACCACTGAGCTATTCGGGCCGCGACTGATCTCTTATAGGACTGAGATGTATTTACAACTGATCGATAAAATTCGATCTTCACTAAGTAAGCAATGACGTTGGTCACTACCCAGTCGTCAATCATTTCTAAATACCATAGAGAGTGTCTCTTCATATGAAAGCAAAGTTTTGATCTAGAGGGTTGATATAAATATTTTAGGTGGTTCAAACAGACTATTAGATAAACTTTAATTGAGAAGATATTGTGTCCTTATGACATAAAACCGATGAAATATTAGTGAACTTTATCGTTTATTACTTTTACTCAAAACGCAATTTTATATTGTCTCCTAAGTGTTTCCTTCAATTAGCAAGTAAATTTAGTAAATTATTCTACTCAGACGTTTTCGGGAGGTACAATCTGTTTTGTTAGGAATCGCTTTATACAATATTGCATTTTGAATGCTTGGTAAACTGTAATGATTTTAAACTAGTCCTAACCTCATAACGTAATACATAGCATAATCCCCATGCTACACAATTTATCGTTGAGTACATTTATAGGACTTTATGTACATGGGGAAAATAACTAATGACTGCCACATTTTCACTTAAGTTTTGCAATGTAAATAAAATGATTAGTTGTAAACATTTATATAAAGCCAGAATAAATAATGTGGTTAGTTAAGAAAAAGAGAGAAAATTATTTGGATATTTGAACAGTTGGTAAATAATTAACCTAGTGATTTAACTGAACTACTGTACTTTTACACCATAGTTGCCTTTCATTTGTTTAGAACAATGTGCTGTAAAATGGTTAGTAAGATAATTTACAGGAATATCTCATCAGGATTTTGTATATTCTATATATAAATATATATGGACAGTCGGGGAATAAAATCACTTGTCACTAATGACTAAGTACTAATTAATAACTGAATGAAGTTAATAATACTGATGTAGAAATATTACTCATGCAAAACCCTAATCTATTAAAACTATGAAGGCGCTGTAGCGTTCCCACTTATTCAGTTAAAGAAATGTTATCAGGTTCGGTTAGAGTATTTCTTTAAAATGAGCTTTGTGGTTCTCTTTTACTCATTCTAAGTGGTGATTTTATCCAATCAGTGAAAACATTGTTAAATAAAGGTGTTTACATAAAAATAACAGAAAAGACTAACATAACGGTAACATCAGGATCAGAATTGTTCTACTTCGGTGTTCTTTTATAAGCTTATTTTTAACATGAGTTTCAACCTAAAATTCAACATAATATAAAAGATTTATAATTTCATAGGGGTCGGTACAAGTTAAATAACCATTTGAAATCATTGTAATACAGCTATTTTCATTCGCTAGTTACTTATAGTAAAATTCTATAAATATTCTTCTAGGTAGTGAATTAATAATTTCCAAACTTTCAGTTAGTCAGTCAGTCAGTCAGCTACAACTTAGGACCAGACACACATATGCATCGATCCAAGTTGCCATAACGCTTTAGCACAGCAAGATGAACATCGGATTCATGCGAGCAGTTAAGTCAATGGTGATAATAAATAAAAGAAAGATTGTATATAACGATATAATACTGGGAGAAATAATTAGTTTGTAGAAAAAAGATATGAAGCGATTTTAATCTCTTAGTTTAAAAGAAGACATATAGTGTATAAACCGACGCCATTGTGATCGGTTCAGAGTCATGTCACCAAGAGTCTCCAACCATTGGTTACGATGGTCACGCGGACTCCAACCAAATTGTCTGCATCTCCCAACATTGCTCAGACTAGAAGTTAGTGGCTTCAAGCACCGATGCCACGTTTTGGTTTGGCCGCCCGTAACTTTCTTCCAACCATTTCCAATACCGGATAGCATTGCACGTCGTGGTAATCGGTGTTCAGGCATACGTAACACGTGGCCCAACCATCTCAGTCGATGATGATTCACAACCTCATCAACTGACTTACCATCATTCCCTAATACCCTGCATCTAACCTCTCTATTACTTACCCGGTGATCCCAGCAGACGCCAGCAATATTTCTGAGGCATCTGTGGTCAAATACCAGTATTGATAATTTAATAAATTTATTAAATCTGTCACTTGAGATGAAATAATTTTTGTAACGTGATTCATTTTTCAGCCTCATAATTAATACTATCAAATCACCTCAATTAGTTGACAGTATACACAAATCACTGTCAGTATCAATTATGATAACTATAGTCAGTTTCAGGAAAAATCTTCCATTTCTCAGTATTGGAATCGAACACTATACAAGTTAAGGAATAGCAAAAACATATTTGAATCATAATTAAAATCTACATAAGACTACCTATATATCTGTTTACTGGTTAATTTCATTTACATTCCGTCATTTATCATAAACTACGGTATATGACTAAGAATTTATTAAGCTTGATATATCTCATAAATTATCTATTTAAGTAGTAAAAACTTGTAAATATTATATGAACCAATGGAAACACTTTACACTCATAAATAAATACCACAAATTAGCTGTAAATAAATAATATTTCTATTCTAATTTCTTTTATTCAGTATCATTAATTTATTAGAAATTATGTATGGTATATTATTAGAAGCTGCTAAACATTATATTATAGACAATTATGGTGAAAATACATGGATATGGTTATGTAAAAAGTCTACTGGTCAAGAATTTGATATTGACACTAAAAAAATATACCATGACAATTTGATGGCAAGAATTGCCATAATATTAGGTGATAAAATATTTACAGATAAAGATACAATTCTTTTTGAAATTGGACGTTATACCATACAATATTTAATTAGAAATGGTTTTGAAAAACTACTTCGTGTATTTGGTAAAACATTCAAAGATTTATTATTAAATTTAAATGATCATCATAAATATTTACGTTATAGTTATCATCGTATTAAACCACCGACATTTGTTATCTTATCTAGTACATCAAGTTGTATAATGTTAGAATATACAACAACACGACCTGGTTATAATCATTATACAAAAGGACTATTATTTGAAGTAGCTAAATACATTTATCAATTACATTTAATTATTAAAATCAATTCAGAATCAAATGAAGGTTCATTATATCGAACTGTATTTACATTAGAATTATTTATTGGTGAAAGTTTTAAAGAAGATGAGATTTGTATGATAAAGACTGGATTAGATACAATGAATATGTTACCAAAAATTTCAAATAAAAAATTTTTTGGATTATTACCATTCCATTTGTTAATTGATAAAAATCTTATCATACATAGTGCTGGACAACGATTATTAGAATTTCAGCCAACTTTAATTAATACTAAGTTTCAAGAAAATTTCGTCATCATGTTACCAATTGTGAAACCATTATTTGAACGGGTAAGATAGACGATGATACATTTTTATAGAAAAAAAAATAATCTTTACAGTAAATTTGTTAAGTTGTATTGAAGACAGTGGTGTTAATGACGAACATTCTAATACTAACATTCTTAAGTAAGATATAAATTTATACAGGTTTAAAAGATCTTATTTAACCATATTTTTTAGTCAATCTCTTTCACAACATTTTATTTCAGAAGAACATGTCTCTAAATTAATCCATCAAAAGCTAGTAAATATATACTTGAAAAATGTATCACAATAAGATTCGTCTAGACTTACAGTAAGATATGTTGTTCAAGCAGTCAGTCAGTCAGTAGCAACGTAGAACTTCTTACTTACGCACATCAGTTCGAGTTGCCATACCACATTAACACAGAGATCCAGTTGTCTATTCAAATCCCATACTGGTATAGGTAGTAAAAGTATAAGCAGTAATCGGAAAGATTAGGGTTTGAAGATGTTATTCAAGGAGTATAATACAGTGAAATAAATTTGGAAAGAGAAAAAGAAAAGGGACATAAAGAATACAGAAGATTAGAATTTGGGAGAACACAAAGTGTGGATGCATCTGACATTTAAAGAATCTCGAAATTTTTTTATAAGATAAATACCTAAGATTTGAAGACCTGAATTAATAAAGATATATCTTTAGTCACTTCGATAGTGCTCGTACGATGAGACAAATAAAAGCTTTCTAATAACAAACATAATAATACAATTTTGAATAAAATATCTATCAGGAGAATTTTAATCGTAAACTGTCCTGCCCAACCAAATGTTTAAATAGTGAATCTCAGTAATGCGGAATACATCTTAGCCATTACTCTACTTTCACGTTATTATTCCAAACATATTTTACTTGTTAAATGAGTAAATGAATTCTTTAAACATTTAGTTATCTTATCATCTGAGAGACCATTTACATGCTCTGATTTAAAATTTATTTCGAAGTTGTTGAATTAATCTCTAAATTAAAAATTCATTTGTCACAAAAACAAATGTAAACCAATGAGTTAAATAAAAGTTGCAGGAAAGAATCGATTAGCTCACTTGGCATTGATTACTTGAATCTTCCCATTGATGTTTAGGACTGCGATTGATCAGTCTCTTATAGGCATATGTGCATACTATGCGTATTGCCTCGACAGTGCCTTAATTCACAAGCGTTTCAGGCAAAGATGGATAATGGTTAGCAGTGAAATCCAGGACGCACATTTCGTTCTATTTGGGACTAACCATTTGTATGTGTCTGAATCTCATAGTTGGTGTTCATTCTGGGACTCGAATACAGTACCGTTCGCTTCAAACATCAACTCTGAAACGAGTCCCAAATAGGACGAAACGTGTGTCCTGGATTCCACTGCTAGCCACTAATTGTTGTAGATAAATGTTATTGCACATTTATTTTAGATACAAACATTGTAACAATGTGTGTTTAAATTCTTGAAGAAATAGTTCAGTGAAATAATGTACTAAATTATTCATTTGAGAAACAACAACATTTGAAACAGTCTGATTTCGTTTGAAAGTTTTATCTTATGAAATGCTTTCAAAAATATATCTTGCTAAAATGTTATTTTGTTCCTGATTTGTCTTCTCAACATTTCCTCTACTTTTGTTTTCAACAGATTATGATGTTTTCCTCTTCCACGTTCAAAGTTGGGCTAAAGATTAATAGAAAATCGAGTGGGTGATAATATTTGTGTTTATTTATTTATTTTGATAACTCGTTATATATTGGGCTTCGATTAAAATTCACCAGGCAACATCATTAGCGATCATGTGCTAATTTTTTGTGTAATTTTTTTCAAATAAACAGCCTTTTATAAGATTTCTAATTTGTAAAATCAGCTTAAATACTTTTTTCTGACTAAAACACACTAATTTCCATTAGGAAACGTAGGGATCTCCTACGTTAATAAACTATGTGATACATTATTTTAATGCATGAGAGATAATTGTAATATCTGTTACATGAAATGATATCACATCGTCGTATTAAATAGTAAACATTTTGAAATGCTAAGTGATAAAGAAAATACTGACTATTGAATTCTTACTCAGTATTCATTACAAATAAACTTTGGAAATTCAGTAATAAGAAGGTGAATATGAATGAGAGATAAGCAAAGATCCGTAACTAGAATAAGAAAAAAACTCATCAGGCATATTCTGATAAGATGGTGGAGAAGATTTGTAGCTCAGGTGGATGATTTTGGTGGAGTTTTGTTCTCTCTCGTGGAGCTTTCATCGTTCATCTACGACCAAACCATCCAGCTCAGAGAACAAAACTCCACCAAAATATTCTGATAAGATTCGGTTGATTCTAAGAATTATCTTCAAAGATCTTATTGTGACTTTTGTCCGGTCAATTTATCACGTGATTTATTCACCAATCAGAATACGACTTATACAATATTAACACTGTGCCACAACAATCACGTATTGACCGGTATGAGCAGCTCAGTGTCATTATTCGTCCTTTTCATGATTAGCCCTACCTGTTCAGTCCACAGCACCAATATCACCTTCCACTATGTGAATCATTTATTTCAAACATACCCAGTTTATATGTACAAGCCAACCAGACCACTTCATATTATAAGATAGGAAATAACATTTGTACAAGATCAAGTGAAAAAGTGGCTGTGATTGTGAGAAACTGTAATTAATAAATTGTGAAAACCATATGATAATAATCAGTAAGTAAAAATGAAGCTTAAAATGAGAGAAATATAAAAAAACATAAACTTGTCACTCAATAGTGCACTTTTTAGCTGTGAAAGTTTTGAAATTCACCTTCCTATTTTAGATTTGTTTAAACTAAGTAATGATGAATTGTAATGGTGTACGCTCATGAGCTGTTATAATCTTAAACACTTGAAATCTCAAACACAAACACTGTAGTGATTGATAAATTTTCATTTTTGACTATAAAAAACTGCTTGTACTGAATTAAACTTTCATCATTTTTATTATTAGTATTATAATTATAAATAAGTACAATTTTCATAATGAAGAGAATAAGTTCTATGATATACTGTTGAATCTAATTAATGAATAATTCATAGGAAAATAGATCTTACTTTCGATCATTTTCTATGCAGTACATTCAGTAATGAGAGAATATATACGTAAAACAGATAGTATTTAAAGAATCAAAGCTAAGTAATCTCTTGAAACAAAATATACATTTAACTTTAACTTACATAAATATTAACTTTGATTCTTTAGTACCAGTAACTGAAACCATTGAACTGTTTCAAAATCAAACAATATCAAGATGAATTTTTTTCTTTTTTTTTCTTATAGATGAAAGTCAAAAATCAATGTTATATATTAAGGGTCAAATGATTTATGTAAAAGAATGGTCAATGTTACTTTTTATAGGGAAACCAAAGTAAGTGAATGATTCAATTTTACTATAATTTGTAATATAATATTATTCATAACACATAAAAAAAATTTCACCTTTTGTTCATACACTTTGACTATTATTCAATGTGTTTTAATGTAGACTCAGATATTATAAACCGAATTAGTTATCTCATTATTTAAGATTTTCTTTAAGCATATACTTATTACCAATCATAAACAGAATGTAGAATCACTAGCATTGGATATATAATAATGACTACTAATCAACATATATTATTTTTTATTTGATATTAAAACATAATGTGAACAGTTAATGTTGCAATTATGGTATCTAGGCAACAGATGTTATTTTAGTAAAATGTAAATAAACAACTCAAAAGATATTTCTTCTTTTTTTGAAGATAAGCTGGATTAGTTGATGGTGTTGAAAAAAAATTGTCCATAATTTGAACAGAAATTTAAAAGTCTTATTTTATTCTTTTGTTTGTTTGTTTATTATTTTCTTAAATGTGTTCTAATAGTATGATTTGAAAGGCTTGAAAATCTTTAAGAAATACTACTTTTCAAAAATTTGTATCTAACCAACGTAGTTATTCATTAAAAATCCTATTAAAATTATAGTTATTTTGATTATTCCTTAAATAATCAAATTAGTGAATAACACGATAAGTTCGTAACCCGTAAGCGGGATCGTGGATGCTCATTGCTGAAGAGTCCAAAAACAGGACGAAACAACAGTCCAGTGCTTCCAGGTTCTCAATGGTGGTCTAACCATCAATCGGTTCATGATCTCAATCAAAAATTTACTAGTTTCCACAACCCCATACTGTTAATTAAAATAATTATACCTTTAAATTATTTTATTTGTTTTTAGTTTTTCAGAAATTAAATCTTTTATCGACTTTGGACTAGATTTACAAGACATTAACTTATATGATATTAAAGTTGAAAAAATGATCTCAGGTGATACAGTACCCAAAAATCTTTTAGTTTTATTAGAAAAAGTGAGTTTTATTATTACCATTTTAGAATAATGTTTTGTAATACAGACAATTTATTGGTTGGCGTTTTTTTTAGAAAGATATTTTTCTAGGGAGTGTGGTTGCTGACCCTTCTCCTTTACCCGGTTTTGGGACCGGTAGTGACTCTAGAAAAGCTACAGGCTGAGTTACTAAAGATAATTTGATTATTTCTAAACCATAAACAACATTTATTCAACACTTTACATTATAGGAATAATCAAAGTACTTATGTACAATCCAAAGAAGAATCCTTGATAGATGGCTAGTAGTCTTTTCACTGAGCTTTCGTAAAATGAAATTACAGAAGAAACAAACTAAAGATCATGGATCGACTGAAGTTAGACGCCACCACCGTTGGATCCCGGCTCAGTGGTCTGTAGGTTAAGCGTTCACGCACGAGATCTAAGGTCCTGGGTTCGTGTCTCACGTGCGGGATTGTCAATACTCACTGATGAGAAGTCCCATAGAGAGACGAGACGGTCGTCCAGTGCTCCCAGGTTTTTAATGGTGGTCTAACTTAGATCGACCCGTGAATTCAATTGCGAAGATACTACAATCTTCACAAATCCTCATATTGATAATAATAAATAAAGAATCCTAGAAATTGTATGTCTTTAAAAGGATAAAAAAGATTGCACCGTAAAGTGATTCGAGACGTTTATTGTCAGATGAGGTTACATAATAATCAAGGGGTAAGAAAAGAATATAAACATGAAAATAATTTACGGGTCTGAATTATGAAAGGTAATTGTCCAATTTACAGATATGATGAAAAACGAAACACATAAAGGTCATAATAATAACTGAATAATAATCATCAAAAATTGTGAAAGGATAATAATTGATTACGGTTTAAAATTACAATACATTTATTTAAAAACAGGACACACCAAAACATACTACAGAAGGGAATGAGGGCCAAGGGAGGATGAGAGGTTGGACGTATCGTTCTCGCACTAAGAGTTCGCGCATGATTTGGTGGATCGCCAATCCCTCAACAGTGCATAAGTTTTTTATTTGACCTCCCTTCGATCCAGTTCTTTCGACTGTGTAGATTATTTACAAAAGAATACACGGGGCGTCCAGCTTTTGATCCGTACACTTTTGAAAGAACCTGTGAAGAGCAAGACGGTTATTCATTTCTAATGTACGAAAGATGCACGTTCAATGAGCAGATAAACAGTTATTATTGTTTAAACAAATTTCTCGGCCACTTAACAAGAAAGTTATGACTAGTGCACTGATGCTAGGAAATATAGTTAGTGTCGACCATAATGGAAGTGATGTTGTTTGGATACCTAAGGAAAGCAAGGTTGAAATTAATTCCGTCAGTGAGAGAGTTTAAGACGGTTTATCTACAGAAAACCAGTTTCAACCGCGTTTCATTTAAATTGTAAATTATAACGGTGTTCAATATTATGCATGCAACTGAAGGCAAAGTTTTACTTCGTTAATTGTTGTACAGCTTCGAATGATCTCTTTTAACAATGGTTCTGGCAACAGGTTTGTTTTAGATAGGGAGATGGTTTTTAGATTTATATAACTTTTTCAATAATCCGATCAGTAGCTTGACTATGAAGTCGTCGCTTAGTATGAAGACTAAGGAAAATTCTTTTAAACGGAGTGTCTTCTAGCGTTTTGTAACTTCAATTCAGACTCACCAGGTTTCTGACATTGGGCTACCTGTAGCTGATAGCTAGAATGAATTCATTAGATTATTACTTAGGTTAATTACGATTCTGTTTTGTATTCATAGCAAAAAAGAAAAAGTAAGGAGTTATCAAAAATAGCCAGAAAACTCAATGAACAACGAAGAAAAACCTATCAACTGCTGGAACAATGTTTACCTAAAGAAGTTGCACAACAAATAAGTCAAGGAAAACATTCTTCAGAAACAATGAAGGTGAAATTTTGTTCTACATTTCTTATTTTAAAATTTTCCATCATAGATAAGACAATATCTAACTGTCTGCTAACTTATTCAGGAGTAAATGTATAACTACTTATGTTAATTTAGTTTTTAAGTGGCCCTATATTTTGTGATTGTCATCGAGATATACATGCCAACAAACTACTTATATTTTCATCGACTCAGTTCTTGTTAGATAATAACGGAACAAGTCAAATACGAGCATGAATTCTGAATACGTATATTTTATACACTAATTGATCCACACAGACAATTAGAGAAACGAAGTGGAGAAAGCAAAGCGAAACGAGACGAAGTGATATGCAGTGGAGTTATAAATTTGATTTAGACTTAAAAATTGGACTTAGGGCTGGAATATATCGTTGACAGTTATGAGTAATGATAAGAAATTAAGTTGATGACTGCCTGATAGTTCTAGTTTGTCATATACATAATCTATATTCTTATTTTATTACTTTCGGATAAAAACGATGAAATTCTTTTCTATAGAGAAATGTTTCAAATTGTCTAGCATTTACAAATCTATATACGTTCAATGCAAAGATGGATAGTGGCTAGCAGTGGAATCCAGGATGCGCGTTCCATTCTGTTTGAGACTCGTTAGCTGAATGTACTTGAACTTCAGAATTGATGCTTACTCTGGAGCTCGAGCTCAGTACCGTTCGCTTTAAACGCCATCGCTATCCTACTGCTAGCTACTATCTATCTTTGCTTTAAATATCGAAGCAATATGCATAGTATGCACATGTGCCAATAAGAGACTGATCAACTGTAGTCCTAAACATTAATGAGAAGATTCAAGTAAACAATACCAAGTGAACTATATACGTTTACTTTTAATGATTTTATGAACCAAACAAGAACTTTATCGTTTATATATCAACAACGAACGTCTTAAGGATAAACACCATTTTAATGTCATGAAGTAATTTTGTAGTAAACGAGAATACAAGCGGGGACAACTAAATATATGCGAATACAAAATTACAGAACATATTAATAAAATCTGAGAACTATACAGTAAATACTTCATTTGAGAAATGTTCATCAGTTGTCTCAGACTTGATTGTTCCTTCATTTTCACACCAATCATTCTCTCTTTTCATTCTTTTTTCTTCGATCTTTTTAACCTTCTGCCTCCAAACATTTCATTTTCGATTGATGATACCATACTACTTATATCTGTCGACATCAGTAGCACACAGTATAGTATGACTAAATTTTTATTTAACTGATTTGATTCACCCAAATTTGAATAGTATTTTTTATTATTCAATAGTTTATAAAGTTAATAATTTATGTTTATAAATCGAGATAATAAATTCTTATACTGGTTAAATTTGCTGATTTTTCATATCTAATCAACTGTAGATAATTTTTTCTTTCAATTTTTAATTATTTCAATGGTTAAGATCATGAGCCAGTTGAAGCTAGACCACCATGGGAAACCTGAGAGCACTGGACGGTCGTTTCGTCCTAATATGGGACTCTCGAGCAGTGCGCATCCACGACCTCGCCCCCTGCGAGATTCGAACCCAGGGCCTACTGGTTTTGCGCGCGAGCACTTAACCACTAGACCACTAAGCCGGCATCCAACGGTGTTAATTTCCTACTTCAGCTAACCCACGAAACTGAGCGACACATCCACCATTGTCTTCGGTGAGTTACTATCTCACAACAGACCTGGTTGAACTCCACTACTTCTCACTGGAGCTCCAGGACTCATGATCTTAACCATTGAAATTACTATAATATCCACAAGACCCATCAGATTTTTTTAATTATTTTATTAAAATTTTCAGGCATACAATTCAGTGACAATATGCTTCACTAAAGTGGTTAATTTTTCTAATTATTCTAGTCGAATGTGTCCACATAAAATTGTCGATATATTAAATCAAATGTACACACTTTATGATTCAATGACTGAATCACATAATGTTTATAAGGTAAATTGATACTGAATGGATATTGGTCCATTTAAATTTCTTTGTTCATTATTTAATATAAAATGAAATGTTCGTATAAAGGTAATTCTTTAAAGTGTCGTTTAATTTTTTTATAAGCAAGCTCGATTGGATAAAAACAAAATCTCATTTGTGTGAAATACTTTATTTCTTTAAAAAGACAATCAATGGATCCGAGTTTTATTGTGAACATTAACATTGGCATATAAATAAATCTAATTGACTAGTTCCTACGACGAAGTATCCATATTGGCTCTGATTACTAACGACTATCTTAGAATATAATTAATCATGTGAACTTTAAACTACATGTAGAAATTTAGAGAATATAAACTTAATTCATGACTGAGATTTGAATAATTCTAGAAGCTGATGGAAAACGAATAATTTTGAACACGGTTCTAATAGCTTACCACTTTGTTAATAATTAAAAAGATAGATTTGCTGTTTATTCATAAGTATCAATTAATTGAGTTCGACTAAATGTTATAATAATCGTAAATGTTGACCCAATTTTTTGTGTAACCATTGTGTTGTTAATTCAATTATTGTTATGTATGTTATGTGGTATGTTAAATACCACCAGTATTGCCTTGTTATCAGTAGAGAAAAGTTATATCTTAACTTACTTCTGTATTTTGCTAACTTACGTAGGGTAACAACTAAATGATGAGTAGTAAGAGAAATGAGCCAACGGATCCGACGTATTTTGCGCAGATAACTGTAAATAAACACTTGTATCTTCTGGATGAGCGGTTTCGTAGTTCTCCAGGTTTTTGTCCCAGTAGACAATAGAACTGTCTAGACATTTGTCTTGAAAATTATGACTTTGGTGTTGGTTACCACTTGTTTTGAGTTCCAAATGTTCTTCAGTTGTAAATATGCTGCTCTTGCTTTTCCGATCCGTGCCTTCACATCTGCATTAGGTCCACCGTGTTCACCAATGATGCTGCACAAATGTGTAAAGGTTTTTACATCTTCTAAATCTTCTCCATCAAGTATAGTTCGATTGGTGCATGCTGTGTTGTATCGGAGAATCTTGCTTTTCCCTTTGTGTATGTTGAGATCTCCTGCTGCTGAGACTGCTGCTACACTGGTCGTCTTCTCCTGCATTTGTTGTTGCATTTGCGATAGAAGATCCAGATCATCTGTGAAGTCTAAATCGTCCAGCTGCATTCTAGATGTCCACTGTATCCTGTGTTTCCCTTCAGATGTGGACGTTCTCATGATCCAGTCGACCACCAGGAGAAAGAGGAAGGGTGAGAGTAAGCAACCTTGCCTGACACCGGTCTTTACCTCGTATAGTGGTCCAGAGATGGCCTAGAAAAATTGCATCCGACAACAATACTTCACGCCATCGGTTACCTTTAATTTAATCTTCGTTAGAACATAGCAGTTCCTAATAGATGATTACTGTCTGATACAATTAAAGTTGTCCGATATACCTTCGAGTATTATGTGAGTGTATCTAAATAATTAATCCTGACTCAAAACCATTCCGATAAATATAACATCAAAAATAAACTTTTTAAAACATTATTCCCTCGTTTTATTTTTAACGGAAAACTCATCGGATATAAAAGAAAACGTTTTTTATTCGAATAAATAAAACTGCTCTTCCACAAAGAACATTTCAAAATTAATTCCTAACTAGTTCATTCTTTAGTGCGGGCCATTGATTTTATACTTGAGTTGTAGAGTATGACTAACAGCTACACACATGATACTTACCTTTCAGTTAATTAATCGATAATTCCTTCTTAAAGCCATTCCCATTCAATGAAAGCTGAAACTAACTACTAAAATCAAGTACATTGACATATTTTGTGACTAAAATACCCGACTTATGGTTAAAATGGGAAATTATAGCCATTTTATTCATTAATTATTATAATTACTTGTATTATTAAATGACATTTCGGTACAAACTTTTATGGTCATTTAAAGTGTTATTTGTAATAGGAAATATAATTAACAATTTCGAATGTTTATAATTTACATTACGGAAAGATTTTCATGTGTCCACGATGAATTCTAGTAGGAAATTTTATATTTCTTAAATTGAAACTGATTCCATTTTCCATTACATAATAAAGATTGAAACAATTAGTGATAGTTATATGCTAGTATCCGGTGCTCCAAGTCCATCATCCTTTCATTCAGCTCATATAATTGAAATGGCATTAGATATTCTGGAAGTTACAAAACGACATCTATTTTGGCCTAGTGAAGCTTTTTTGGATAATTCAACAGGAACTCAAGATGAACAAAATATACCACTACAATTATACATTGGTTGTCATACTGGTTCGATTGTTGCTGGAATTGTTGGATTTAAATCACCAAGATATTGTTTGTTTGGTGATACAGTAAATACTGCAAATAGAATGATGAGTACTGGACTCGTAAGTAAGACTTTTTTGCCATATTTTGCATAGCAAACTTAAATATAAAAGTCCAATTTACAGAAGGATGAAATATGTAGAAGCGAAACAAATTATGATCCAATCAAGCTCAATCAATGTTCCCTAATCATTATGATTATAATGCATAAAAGGGTAGGATTAATGAATGAATTATCAAAAATGCACGAACCTTAAACGTGGTTTGTATACTTTTGAAGAATCGCATACTAGGGCAAATCAGCCGTCCAAGTTTTCGATGGTGGTCTAACTTAGATTGGTTCATGATTTCAATGAAATTCAGGAATCGTAACAATCACATAAAGAAACACAATTATATGAACGAAGAATATTCTTTTGAATAATTTTTCATCAGGTTCTACAATTATAAATCCAATAATCCATAAAATTGGTCAGATTTAAGGCAGAGTACATCATTTAAAATTGTAATATGTAAACCAAGAACCTTTTTGGGGAATTTATTCAATATCCAACCCTAAATCTACTATATCTAACCTAATTCATATTATTCTACATATTACGTAATTAAAACACGAATTTCAGCGAAGGGATCTCTTTTCAACGGATTTATTATCAAGCTGTACAATCGTATATATATGAAAAATTTTTGATTTTGTAAAAGTACTAATTCCGTGAGGAAATGTGAACACAGTTAATAAAAAGGTTATAATACTAGATTACGTAATATGAATAATAATAATAATAACAATAGATTTAGTGTTCACATTTCCTCACGGAATTAGTACTTTTACAAAATCAAAAATTTTTCATATATATACGATTGTACAGCTTGATAATAAATTCGTTGAAAAGAGATCCCTTCGCTGAAATTCGTGTTTTAATTTTAATATTACGTAATTTCCGATTTTTATTCCATTATTTTCTCTCTCATCTCATGTTGATCATATTTATTCTGATCATTTATCGCACAATTTTATTTCGCTTATAAACTGATTCAAGTTAACACTTCATATCAGTCAACCCCAACATTAACGACCTGAATTGATTTTATATAACAAACAATTCCTGATTCACATATTACAATTTCCAAAGGATGTACTCTGCTTTAAATCTGGTCAATTTTATAGATTATTAATTTGGATTTATAATCGTAGAACCTGATGAGAAATTATTGAAAAGAATATTCTTCATCCATACAATTGTGTTTTAATTTAATGGGAATTTTTCAGTGATTAAAATCACATATTGATAAGAGTTGATGAAGATCGTGTAAAAAAAAAATCAATGTAGTCACTTGAATGGTTAAATCAATCGAAGATCAAACGTTCATTAATTTATATTGAAATAATTAGACTAGTTATAATAATCACTGTAAATTAAAGATAAAATCATAATTAAGTGAATTCAATTCATTATAGAATGTCAGTTCTCTTTCTTTACTAAAGTTCATAAATGAGATTAATTACATATTACCTTTATATATTATTACTGCCTTATAAGAGATATGGGGATTTTTAGATCGATTTATAAACTTCTCAATCAATTATAAATAGTATTCTTTACTATTCTATAGGTTGCATAAAAATCTAATCAATTAAGAAAAATCATATTTTCTATTTGTACATCTCGAATTGATTAACCAACTTTATTATGAAGAAATAATAGTTAAAATTCATCTGAAAAACAAAAACAGTTCATTAAATCTTCTATATCTTTTGTAAATAATATTTGAATATTGAACATTCAAATAATATTTTATAATAAAATAAAGGTCACAAAAGAAAACATCATTTTCTTAAAATTTCTATAAGTGATTTCATGAGTTAGTTGAAGCTAGATCGTTATGGAAAACCTAGAAATACTGAACGGTCATTTCATCTTAGTGTAGGACTCTTCATCAATGCGCATCCACGATCTTGCCATACAAGATTCAAACTCAGGAGCTTTAGACTACGGAATTGGCATTCAACGGTGTTAATGTCTAACTTCAACCAATCTACAAAATTGAGCCACTATTCACCATTGTCTTAAATGAGTTACTATCTCACAACAGACCTGGTTGAACTCTACTAGTCACGGCTTCTCCACAAAACCCCTCTCTAATTTCTACAAATATTAAATAATGCTTTATCTAACTTTTAAACTTTATATATCTTTAATTTTTTTGTTTTAAATAATTAAAATTTGATAATCTCAGAAACTTCATAAAACACTATTTTTTTTGAAAAAATGAAAATCTTGTATTTAAAGGATTTACTATGGGTAACTAACACTCCTTATTCATTTATTTATTAGCCAGATACAGTTCATATTAGTTCGGACTTGGCGAAGAACCTTTCTGAATATCCTTATATTCTGGAATATCGAGGTGAACAAACAATCAAAGTGAGTATGTAGAAAAATGTTCAAGTTTTCTAATGAAATAATACATTTTAAAAAATAAATTGTCAATATAATTCCATATGATTTAGAAAGAGACTTTATTGTAGTTTTAGTTAGCGATTACAATGACTTAGTGGATTGGAATGATTTAATTATCATTTTAAAATTCAGTTTACATAAATCATAACAATTTATTCAGTTATGACGGTTTTCGACTAGATCAGTAAACTTGGGACAAACCATTAAAACTAGTTCATGGAAAATAAAAAGTTTACTTACTTTTAGTCATATTTATCGACAAAATACTTATATCTCTTACAAGGTAGTAATCATATATAAAGGTCATATGTAATCGATCTCATTTATGAACTTTAGTAAAGAAAGAGAACTGACATTCTATAATGAATTGAATTCACTAAATTATGGTTTTATCTTTAATTTACATTGATCATTATAACTAGTCTAATTATTTCAATATAAATTAATAAATTCGTGTATTATCTCATACGATAATGTAAATAAAATGTAAGAAAACTCGATTGTTATTCTAATAGTTCTGAACCAGATACATCTATATTTAACTATAAAGAAGTGGTCACGTGAAATACCACTAAACTAGGAATCATTCATGCTCATAACTATTATTGAGGTAAATCTACAATTACGATGAACATCTTGTCTTCTTATATAATTGAATCATTATGAATAAACGTTTTAGTAAATGAACCTATCTCTGCATTATTATATTACACTAATCAGTGTTGCTAATCAAAAAAACATTGATTTACATTTCCTTGATGATTTTTATCAACCAACGAAATCATAATATTAATTTGGTAACTATTTGTTTAGAATATACACTACACAATTGAACAAATAAAGCTTAGTATACACTGAGTATTAAACAGCATAATATAAGATCCCTTTACTTAAAAGTGTATCTCAAGATATACAATAAATAAAAACACAATGAAATCACATAACACAAATGTAAACCTAAAAATCATTAACAGTTATTAATATTCTGAACAAAATTTCTATGACCTTATTAGCTAAACACCCTCGTATTTATATGTATGTCAATATCTGTAATAACGTTGATTTTCAAATATTTTAGGTTGTAAGCAGCTGATGAGAACCTGATAAAATAAAATGAATTCATATTATTGTTTACCAGTCTTCGTTCTTGCTCTCTTTAATAGAGATAATTCATTTAGTTGGACGCGATTCACTATCACAACCCATTAAACATAAATAAAATGAATTAAGATTACTTTATCATTGATATTTCTAGTATTAGTATTTCTATTTATCTTTCTGGCTATATTGATCAGTTTTCATTCAACACTGTCAACTTTCAATGTAGGCTTTGTTGAGTTAATGCATTTTTCTATAACGTTACACAGGGTAAAGGAAAAATGACCACTTATTTCGTAAAAAACCGTAAAGAAAACTTTACCATGACTGATACAACAACTGGAGAAAAGTTAAACTTCCGAAAATTATTAAAAGAAGATATTGACAATCATTGTAGACAAATTGATGAACTAAACTCTTTTAATTCAGAAGTTTATGGTTATGATAATGGAGATGAATCGAGTTCGACTACGTCTTCTGAGGATTTAACAGATATAGAAGAAATTCAAAATACTGATAAAAATGAAGAAATACTTGACACTATACCTATTCAAAATAATATCACCACTCAACTTTGTTTCACCAATAATCAAAATGAACGTGAATTACAGTTGGAAGAAATGGATTATTTGGAATCCAAAGAAAATTTAACAAAATCCAAATCAGTAGAACAAAACAGTAAGTCGTCATTTGGTTATTGTATCGTTTGTTTTTCACGATTTTGTTGTTTTGGTGACCTTTTTATATGAATAGAGACTTTCCAAAGACTTATTGTGTCGATAAATATGACTAAAAGTAAGTAAACGTTTTACATTCCATGAACTAGTCTTAATGGTTTGTCCCAAGTTTACTGATCTAGTCAAAAACCGTCATAACTGGATAAATTGATATGATTTCTGTAGGTGTTTTACTCTTGAAACATTCAGTACAGTTCGTATCATCAAAATATATCTGACATTCTAGAAACCTGTGACTATTTTATCATTTGTTAAATCAGAGAATTTTCAACTATCTATTACGTCCTTAATCTGTCTACCCACTCTTGTGCAGAGGATACTTGTCTAATCTAGATTAAGACCTTGACGCGATAGGCTGACCGGCTTAACCTCGAGACTAGTACGCGTGTGTTCGAAGTGGGGTAGAGAGATGAAAACTATTCTATCAACTGATTGGCTGAAGAGCACGCGAGTGAGAGAAAACAAGCCAACTGGAAGACTACACGATTTATTCCTAATTCCGATCTGGTTCCCGATTTCAGATCAGTGTGAAATGATGACTAACCTGACCACAACGTATGATAATTACTTACTTGCGCTTGATGTTCCTCGTGAAGAAGCATAGGCCGTTCACCAGCACTCTCCATCCAACCCTGTCCTGGGCAATCCTTTCCAGATCCTTCCAGTTGTTATTCATCCTTTTCATATCTGATTCTATTTCCTGACGTAATGTGTTCTTTGGCCTTCAACTTTTCCACTTTCCTTCAGGATTCCAAGTCAGGGCTCGCCTCGTGGTGCAGTTCGATGATTTGCGTAACGTATGTCCTATCCATCAACTCCATCGTCTCTTACTAATTTCCTCTTCAGCTGGAAGCTGGTTAAAAAACACAATTATGTCAAAAACTGGAGACTAGCGTAAAAAATAGAGTACAAAATAATACGTTTAAATTACAATAGATTTGGAACAAAAAGGGCTATGGCAATGAATCATACATCAAACGAAAGCTTATGATCTGTAGAATAGACTAAAGACAAAAATAAATGTAACTGTTTTACAAGCTTTGAATTAAATGAAATAATGTCCTGAGAAATAGCTTCCGTAGTTTGTCAAGGCTTCTTGTTTCTCTGTTCACATCACTATCAATGAAATGTTTATTGAATAATGTTACATTACACAGTGAAATTAGATTTACTATTGACGCAGTCATAAAAGAAAACCACCAATCATCACACGTCAAAACTAGAGTAGATTAATTACTTTTCAAGTTAAATATAATTTAAAATAAAATGTTTATACTGTGAGATGGTGAAGAAGATTTGTAGCTCAGGTGCATGATTTTGATGAAGTTTTGTTCTCTGAGCTGGATGGTTTGGTCTTGGAGATTTCATCGTTCTTCTGAATGACATCATCAGCTCCACGACCAAACCATCCAGCTTAGAGAACAAAACTCCATCAAAGTGTTTATAATGTTTTTATATCATCAACAAAATTCCTGACTTCATTTAAAATTTTAGATTCGAAATATACAAACAAACTAATGAATGAAGACGAACATGTAGATTTAATGAAGAATTTTAAATCGTCTAAATCGGTGATATTTGAAGATATTGGTAAGAGAAACTATTTTAATTGCTTAATCAACCAAATTATAAAAAAATTGTATTTCTCTGAAATATTGTTGGGAATTCTTAATAGCAAAAAGTTAAAACTTCATAAAATTACTGTATATAATGTTTCGTGGTGTTAGTTGTTACGTCAAGCCGACATAGCTTATCCTACATTCCCGACAGGCAAATCTATTCATTCTTCTTCAGTTACATGTTGAACTTGTTAATTATTCACTTACCAACCTTAACTGTTTTCATATGAGCGCGTGTGCGTGCATTTCTTATCTCACTCATCACATGCATGTAACTTATCTTTATCTGACTACAAGTGTCGATTAACGCTTCGTTAAATCGAATTGGCTCACACGCATTCTACACCGCGCGTCACTTAGCTTCGCTTGGTTTCTCCGATCGTTTGTGTGGATTAATGATTTTATGAAATACACGAATTCGACGTCCATTCTCGTATTTGATATATTTTATTCCGTAATTCACTAACACGATTTAAGTCGATAATCATATGTGAGGATTGACGATATGTATATTTCAATAGCAATCATTTACAGGATCAATCTTGAGTCAGATATAGGACCACTAAAGTGGTGAACCAGTCGACAATAACGTCCGATCTAATTGGCGTCAAAATAATGGGCCACTAAATTTTGGTTCTTATTTTCTTAACATAAAAGAATATTTCAACACATCATTAAGTGATATAAATATAAATAAAGAGAAAGAGATTAGTTTAAGGATATTATAAATGAGAAAAGTGAGGCTAATTTATGGATGACATTTTAGCAACGCCAAAGTGACCTTGGAATATCCACGAACCCTCTAGAATCAAATGAGGGTTTTTCATTAGTGTAATGAATTAGAATTAGGATCTACAGTTGAACGTTAGGGCTTGGAGTTAGATTTAATGTCGGTATTACGAAATGACATCAGCTATAATAACAAAATGGTACCTAGCCAAATGAGTAAATGGAGTTCGCACCCAAATCCAAGACCGTGCTGTCTTAAATCCGGTTGGTTCGTCTATAAATTATAGTGTCGCCATGAGAAATATCTTCATTTTTTATATTCTTACATGGAAATTCATGAAAGTGAAACGAATAAATAAATTATTTTAGTCTCTTGAATTTAGACATTTAGTGCTTCATTTGTATTATAGCAATAGGTATATCTGTCTGTGACGAAGTAGGTGGAATTAAAATCATAATAAAATTATGCGACGAAGTATACATCATATTTAAAATAAATATTCATTTCTCAGGCTTCGTCCCATGAATACCTAAAGCTTCTGCTTTATCAAAGAGTGGGGTACAAATAATCTATGATATGTTTGACCTAGTATTTCAAACAACTTTCATGTAAAAGACTAGTAGTTGAACGAAGAATATTCTTTTCGATAAATTCTCTTCAGGTTCTACAATTATATATCCAAATTAATAATCCGAAAAAATGGCCAGGTTAAGGGCAAAGTACATCGTTTAGAGCATGTGAATTTAGGATTGTGATAAACAAAATACAATAAAATTGTTAATGTTGATATGACTTATATAGAATGTTAACTTGAATCAGCTTATATGTTAACTAAAATTTTAAGATCCATGATCAAAATAAATATGGGTCAAATAGAGTGAGAGAGGAATAATAGTGCAATTACAATTCGATCAAATAAGTAAGACGTAATACGGAGGGGTGAATGCGAAATGAATGAATCATGTATAGTGGAGATTAATGATGTTTAACCAATAGTATTAATAATAATAATAATAATAATAATAATAATAACACAAAGATTTATGAATAAGGAAAACAGGGACAATTACAATTGACTACGAAAGGTCATAGTCAAATTAGTTCATTCAATAGTTAAGATTACGATTGATTAATTGGCCTTGATGTCGGCCAGGGGAGGAGGAGTGGTTGAATATATTTCTTCTGTACGCAAAGCTCCGGTTTCTTCATCCGGATGGCTATTGCTTCAGCCGTTTGAAGGACTTTCAGTCTGATCAGTTTTGGCAAGAAATTACTTACCTTATATATAATTGGCCCATTTAGTACAAACCGGTCATAGTGCCAGTATAAACCAATATTTTTCAATTATTTATAAGGTAAGTAATTTCTTGCCAAAACTGATCAGACTGAAAGTCCTTCAAACGGCTGAAGCAATAGCCATCCGGATGAAGAAACCGGAGCTTTGCGTACAGAAGAAATATATTCAACCACTCCTCCTCCCCTGGCCGACATCAAGGCCAATTAATCAATCGTAATCTTAACTATTGAATGAACTAATTTGACTATGACCTTTCGTAGTCAATTGTAATTGTCCCTGTTTTCCTTATTCATAAATCTTTGTGTTATTATTATTATTATTATTATTATTAATACTATTGGTTAAACATCATTAATCTCCACTATACATGATTCATTCATTTCGCATTCACCCCTCCGTATTACGTCTTACTTATTTGATCGAATTGTAATTGCACTATTATTCCTCTCTCACTCTATTTGACCCATATTTATTTTGATCATGGATCTTAAAATTTTAGTTAACATATAAGCTGATTCAAGTTAACATTCTATATAAGTCATATCAACATTAACTTTCATGTAGTTATGTTGGACGATTGGGGTCAATTTAGTTGGAGGAAGGAAAACGTAGACTGGTAGATGAGAGTAAGGGCAATAAGATCAGAAAGTTTGGCTTTCAAACATATGAATATTAGTTTGCGTATTAAATAAGTTAGTTAAGGATTAGCTAAATGAATGATCTCCAAATCGCTTCAAACAACTGATCCTTAAGTATAATTAAAGTTTGAGGATCTATGGATTACAAATTTATAAAAAAGTTACATCTTCGGGACAAAATTACTGAATTTCTTGTTTCAAATATCAACAAGGTAACTGAGATGGTCATTCTTAGTTCAAAATTTGGTTAGTTGAAAGTTTCATATTGGTATTATGATGATATTTCAGAATTTGTTGTTCCGGTTTATTTGAAAAATGTGTATAAATGTTTTATTTTATGAATCCTTCTAATCTAAATGCATTTTAATTTATAGACTGGCTAAATTTTTTGAAACCGAGATATACTTCAGTTAAGAATAGATCAGATTTAAATGAAATTGTTAGATCGAAGTGCCTCATCAAATAACTAGTCTCTATCATTTGGAAAAATAAAATCATTTTGATGCGGAATTTTTCTGTTTATGGTGTTGCCATTTTCTAGAACTGTACAATCTTAATCATATTTCTATAACACAGTGTAGCACAATGTATAAATGTTACTTCATTAAAAAAGTGATCAAAAAAGCCAAGTATCTGACTGAAATCACTCAATAATCTAAAGGATATTAGGATACAGTAAGTTAATAAAAGAGGTACGAAAGTTAACTCCCTACTTGACAAAAGTGAAAACATCTAATCAACACTGTCGTATTCTCAAACGATTTAATTTAAGCTGAGTTACTGATGTTTTAGTAAGAATTTATTGTCAGTGAAGTTCAAACTTAAAGAGAGCAAGTCTAGTCATTACTCATAATTAATGATCATGAATTCATTGAAGTCAATATATATATATATATATATATATATATATATATATATATATATATATATATATATATATATCACTTGATGACGACCCAAAGGTCCTAATCAGTAACACCATAAGGCCCTTAGTTCGACCACAAGCAAAGTTATTGGTGAGTATTAGAATAAAACAGATGTTTAGCGCTCTTTGACTTTCAATGGTGCACATGATGAAGCAAATCTGTGGTGAATATAACTCATAAATATGAAAAAAGAATAAATGTTCAAGTGGAATTTTCATTTCGTGGTCTTACGTAGATGGAACGTCAGCGAAATGTGGAAGTGGTCACGTTGAGATTAAGTATATATTTCCATCTTGAAATGATTACTTGCTAAAGTCTCTGAGGTTTTTAAACTACACTCTTAAACTGTTCAATCAATCGTCGATCATTTCGCAATTTCAATCAGATCAATGTTATATGAACAGATTTTACTAGGTGTTAGAAAACTCAGCTGTTGATTAAATTACTATTGTTTTTGTCGTTAGTGACCGCAATAAACGATGTAATGTTACAATAGTTCTCACTGTGTTCTTTTTTTATTTAATAGTAAACCCATTAACATTAGGATTAACAGAAATCGGTATTGTTCAACCTGAAAATCCACTTCAATATCTAGGCAACTGGTTGTGCAAATTTTCACAAAAGTCTATCAGTGAAGACTCATGAAAGTGTTAAAAGTGGGACAATATTTTTGAAAAAATGAACTGTTACATTTTTTATGTGTTGTAGAGTATTAGTCTATGTAATCGATGTTACAATAACTATATATTTACTTTTACATTGAATTTCTGTGTCACTTGAAAATAGACACAAGTAAATTTCATATCATTCTTTGTGACAAACTTAAATTTGGTTGATATTTCACAACTAAACATAGTGAGTCCTTGGTATATTTCTCTGTCCTCTAATTAATATTATCCACATATCTCTGAAAGGAAGATACTGTACACTTTTAGTACCTATTTCTACTTATTAATGGTCGGATTCGATATTTTTTGTTCCTAACTTGTTTCATTTACACGTACTTAGTTGTTTATGAAAAAACCCTCTGATTTTGTGCTAAAAACATAATGAAGTATAATTATTCCAATTCTCATCAGCATGGGATTGTGGAGATTGTTAAGTTTAAGTCGAGATCATGAACCGGTCAATGTCAGAACACCATTGAAAACCTGGGAGCAGTGGACGACCATTTTGTCCTAGTATGGGACTCCTCAGCAGTGCTCATCCATTATTTCTTCCTAACAGAAAAACAAAATAAATTCACCTTAATTTTTATCCTTTTCAAAAGACAGTGACAAGATAATATTTATTCATTAAACATATATCATACTTGAAGTTATATTCCAAATAACTGAGGAAATTTAAATATTACTCGACACAATTAGAGAAACGAACCCTAGCGGTAAATGATGATGTATTTTACTGTTCAAAACACAACAACAGATTTTCAAACAAATATATCAATAACTAAATATCATGTATAACTGAAATAGTGAGAATATGGTTAGATTGTTCACTGAATTAATGTTGATTAACGTTACCGAATCTTATGGGTGATCTCTTTCCTACAATCGCAAATGACATTTAGATTAGTTCTCGTTATGAAGAGTTTATATTTCCATTAAAATCAAGTTTAACAACTCCGCTATTGCAGGCAAACTAGTTCAAAGTCATAATGACTGGTCATTATCATCATATTAAGTAATCAACTGTTAAACAATTTATCAATTTACAATGAAATGGTTTCATTTTACAGTTACATTAAATGTGTGGTGTAGTAGATTGAATTTTCAAAATTATGCTCTAAACAGTGTCAGCTTTAAGTCAATAAATTTTATTCGAAACTTTAGTGGTTCTATATCTGACTCAAGATTGATCCTGTAAATGATTGCTATTGAAATATACATATCGTCAATCCTCACATATGATTATCGACTTAAATCGTGTTAGTGAATTACGGAATAAAATATATCAAATACGAGAATGGACGTCGAATTCGTGTATTTCATAAAATCATTAATCCACACAAACGATCGGAGAAACCAAGCGAAGCTAAGTGACGCGCGGTGTAGAATGCGTGTGAGCCAATTCGATTTAACGAAGCGTTAATCGACACTTGTAGTCAGATAAAGATAAGTTACATGCATGTGATGAGTGAGATAAGAAATGCACGCACACGCGCTCATATGAAAACAGTTAAGGTTGGTAAGTGAATAATTAACAAGTTCAACATGTAACTGAAGAAGAATGAATAGATTTGCCTGTCGGGAATGTAGGATAAGCTATGTCGGCTTGACGTAGCAACCGACACTACAAACCGCATAATGAAAGTAATGGCCTAATCATGTAATTAATAGGTATGGATCACCAAACTGATCAATACATTTTAAATTTATAGGTCGAAAAATGCAGCTGACTCCGATATAACGGATACTTAAAGTATTTCCTCTCTCTCACACATATTACTGTAACACGTAAATACGACAGTAAGACCAATCATGCTATGTTGAAACTAGGATTCACGACTGAAAATGGCGAATCAGGTGAATACTTTATTCAAAACAATTACAAGCAGTCTCACTCAGCCAGTCCTCAGTAAAATCAATGATAGAAAGGGAAACCGCATAGGCTGTGGCTGTTTGCACACACTCAACGACTAATCATATTTCACTTTCGCTAACTAACACATATCATACTCGTTCAAGACTACGTCATTGAAACCACTTCATATGATAAAATATCGGTCAAGATGTTGGATGGAATTTTATTCAGTAGAAAATATTCTAAAATTCTTCCGAATTCGACACATTAATCGAGCTTAATGACATTTCTGTGACGACCATCTGAATTAAAATTTATTGTTCACATACTAATAAACGATCATTAGACAACTCATAGACGTCGGTTACTTCTCACTCAAGGGTTAAACCACTCGATCGGGTGAAAATACGTTGTAATAATAATCATCATAAAACTTATGGTAAACTTGACTACATTTTTAACATATTCCACTCAAAAATCAGAATATATTCGTCTTTTTCTCGACACTTGGTTTACATTAGACTTTACATTACTAGAAAAGGTAGTAAAATAATTCCTTCAGACCGGCGATAAGTACCTAACCTATTTTACATCATTCATTTAAAGTAATGGTGACCATCGATTCACATTGGTTACAATACTATGAACTTTTCGGTCTCTTCAAGATAAAGCTGTCTTGGACATAATCCATACATTTAGCTCACGGAAATTGTGTTTCCATAAAACTCCTTGTTATTAACACACACTCACTTGTTTAGTGCTTCGAAAATGACCACTTCAAACAGTAAGTAATTGGAACCTGCAAACTCGTAAGGAAGACCGTTTAAACCTGATCTTGATTTTCCGACTGATTCGACAGTATGTTAAGAAACAATATCAACCGGTGCCTCCTAAAATTATTTCCATTTCACTACTGTTCGATAGATGATTACGTTTTCTTCCCCTCTAAGATTAATTTTTGCGCTCATTCTCAATCATCTTTACCTCCAGCTCGCTACTCCTACACTAGCTTGTAGATGAATGATAATTATCTTCATCATTTTGAGGTTTACCAAGGAAATAACAAGTCCTTACAACCCAACGGCAATCACTGTTTCAATCGATACCCCACTTTATCATAGAGTTAGTGATTTGAGATTTTTATTGAAATGCTTGCCAGACGTTTTGTATGTCATATCGTCAATGGAAATAATGCACCCACATTTTATAATTTAACCGTCCGATTCGACAACACCTGAACACATGATACAATGATATGAATATGTATTTGACGTTGTGGATGGATGTTCACTGTACTTGTTCTGTGTTCCTGAGTATTCATGGTCGCATATTTCAACGTTTGTCTCGGTCTCTTCAAGGAACTCTCGAGTTTAGTGGTGTCCTATTAGAGTTCCTTCGGATTTCTTGGTATTTTTGTCTTCTGAGTTGAAGAGCTCTTAAAAGACATAAAGAGAGTGGTTTCAACTGATTTGAAGACCATACACTTGTGTGAGTGGTGACACCTCTCTCATCGACCAATCAATATTTCTTTATTTCTTTCATGAAATCTAGATTCCTTAACATGAATGAATTTATCATTTCATGTAGAATCACCATTTTACCATCATTTATCCTTTTATGTCCACCAGAACTTGTGTGACTAGAGTGATCTGACCATCCAAGATACTCACAGATTCTCATGGGTGATTGTAGAAAACTTAAAAATGTCAAGGATAGAACACCATAAAAACATAACGAATTATGGCAGGATAAATGCAATCTGTTAACTCCGCCTGTAGCTCTCATAGGGTTACTGCCGGTCCCAAGCCCGGGTAAAGGAGGAGGGTTGGGCATGGGGTTAGCGTCCCCATCCCGTAGAAAACTAACTCGCTAAAAAAAACGCTTACCAGAAAAAATAATCCAAACCATTTAAACTCTGCCCTGGGAGTTAGAAGGTCTTCATTTAGAAGAATTATGACGCTTCATGGTGAAAGCCGAGTTCCTTCGGAAGCCACGAGGCCGATGCCCCTTCTAACAACCAGAGCAAAAATTTTTATAGGTACATGGAACGTTCGAACAATGTGGGAAACCGGGAAGACCAGTCAAATAACAATGGAAATGAGGAGATACAACTTAGCAGTACTGGGAATCAGCGAAACCCACTGGACCCAAGCTGGACAGAAAAGGCTAGCTACGGGAGAGATGCTGCTATACTCCGGTCACGAAGAGGACAATGCTCCACACACTCAGGGAGTCGCTCTTATGCTGTCCAAAGTAGCACGAAATGCACTTGTAGGATGGGAATCTCACGGATCCAGAATCATCAAAGCATCATTCAAAACAAAGAAGGAGGGGATCTTAATGAATATTATCCAATGTTATGCACCCACAAATGATAGCAACGACGACATTAAAGATCAGTTCTACGAGCGGCTGCAGTCAGTCATTGAGAAATGCCCAAGAAAGGACCTAACTATTCTGATGGGAGATCTAAATGCCAAAGTCGGAATAGACAACACTGGATATGAAGATATTATGGGACGACATGGACTGGGAGAAAGAAACGAAAATGGAGAAAGATTTGCAAATCTATGTGCATTCAACAAATTGGTCATAGGAGGCACAATATTTCCACACAAGCGTATACACAAGGCTACATGGATCTCACCCGACCACACTACAGAGAACCAAATAGATCATATTTGCATCAACAAAAAATTCCGAAGGACAATGGAAGATGTGAGAACCAGGAGAGGCGCTGACGTAGCTTCAGATCACCACCTAGTTGTGGTCAATTTAAAACTGAAGCTAAAAAAGAACTGGACAAGTGGACAAACAGCACTACAAAGGTTCAATACAGCCTTCCTTCGAGATACTGACAAACTCAATGAATTCAAGATAGCTGTCAACAACAGGTTCCAAGCCTTACAAGATCTACGGAAGGAAGAAGAAACTAGTATGGAGGACAACTGGAAAGGCATCAAGGAAGCATTAACTTTAACGTGTCAAGAGGTTCTGGGTCTAAAGAAATACCATCATAAGGAGTGGATCTCTACAGAAACACTGGACAAGATCAAAGAAAGGAAGAACAAAAAGGCAGCAATAAACAACAGCCGAACACGATCAGAGAAAGTCCAAGCACAAGCTGAATACATAGAAGCAAACAAACAAGTGAAGAGGAGTATTAGAGCCGACAAGAAGAAATACGTGGAAGAACTAGCAACGACAGCAGAAAAAGCCGCTAGAGAAGGAAATATGAAACAGCTTTACGATACAACGAAGAAACTAGCAGGAAAATACAGTAAACCAGAGAGACCGGTCAAAGACAAAGAAGGCAAGCCAATCACCGAAATTCAACAACAGCGGAACAGATGGGTAGAATACTTCGAGGAACTCCTGAATAGGCCGGCTCCAATGAATCCACCGGACATCAAAGCGGCACACACAGATCTTCCCATAGACGTCGACCCACCAACGAAGGAAGAAATCAGAATGGCCGTCAGACAAATCAAGAACGGGAAAGCAGCGGGTCCGGACAACATACCAGCTGAAGCACTGAAGTCAGACATCGAAGCAACTACAAACATGCTTCACCTTCTATTCAAAAAGATTTGGGAAGAGGAACAAGTGCCGATGGACTGGAAAGAAGGGCACCTCGTCAAGATTCAAAAGAAAGGAGATCTGAGCAAATGTGAAAACTATAGAGGCATTACACTGCTGTCAATACCAGGGAAGGTCTTCAACAGAGTGTTGCTGAACCGGATGAAAGATGCAGTAGACGCCCAACTTCGAGATCAACAAGCTGGATTCCGTAAGGATCGATCATGCACAGACCAAATCGCAACACTACGGATCATCGTCGAACAATCAGTTGAGTGGAACTCATCACTATACATCAACTTCATTGATTATGAAAAAGCATTCGACAGTGTAGATAGGAAGACATTATGGAAACTTCTTCGACACTACGGAGTTCCTGAGAAGATTGTCAACATTATTCGGAACTCATACGACGGACTACAGTGTAAAGTCGTGCATGGAGGACAGCTGACAGATGCATTCCAAATAAGGACCGGAGTCAGACAAGGCTGTTTACTCTCTCCCTTCCTCTTTCTTCTGGTGGTCGACAAGTACAAGTATTTATAAATAGTTGTCTACGCAAGATAAACAACATCCGTTGGCCGGATACCATCAGCAATAGCCTTCTGTGGGAGAGAACAAACCAACTTCCAGCTGAAGAAGAAATTAGGAAAAGACGATGGAAATGGATAGGACATACATTACGCAAATCGTCAAACTGCATCACGAGGCAAGCCCTAACTTGGAATCCTGAAGGGAAGCGAAAAAGAGGAAGGCCAAAGAACACATTGCGTCGGATAATAGAAGCAGATATGAAAACGATGAATTACAACTGGACGGAGCTAGAAAGGATTGCCCAGGACAGGGTTGGATGGAGAATGCTGGTGAGCGGCCTATGCTCCTTCACGAGGAGTAACAGGCGTAAGCAAGTAAGTAAGTAAATGCAATCTGTTACAGGATAGATGTTCACTCAGTCGGATGCATTTAGTTTTCTTCTACACTTATCTAGTTATGCAATCTGCAATTCGTTTAGTAAGCGATTGTGATAATTGTTGATTGGGGGCCTCTCATATTTTTTGACAGAAGACATTACAAACTTATTTTATCTTGTCGTAGAGATGACAGAGTGTGAACTCCTTGAAATTTTCAAAAAGGATAGGCGATTGGAACTTCTGATTGTAAAGTTAATTGGCGTTATTTTCTTTGTTTCATTTTCTCATAAAAAACAAAAAGTAACGCCCTGAATAATTTCTCGATTTTTTTCTCTATATCGTTTCATACAACAAAATGGTTATAGGCGTGTGTGTTTCGTTGAAACAATGTAATCACGTAGTCTTTCCTAATTAATCAAAATTAGCAACTACTTTTGGATTTGCTACTGCATGATCTCAAATTTGTAAACGGTGTTATCGAATGGCATTTGATTTTTATCGGTCACCCAGTCGTTCATAATAATCAATGGGTAAAAGTATGTAGTGTCGGTGTGATTTGTTGAATGAGCTGCTATCAAAACAATCAAGTTGTTGTTCCATTGGTAGCTTGCATTTTTATTATGCCTCATAACTAACTTGTTTTACTTTGTTTCTACTCAGTTAGTTGAATTAGTTAAATTGGAATAATTCCGTGGCGAATGTATAAATTGTAACTATGATTTACTCAATTGTTTCATGTGTCTACAAAATATAAACTGCTTGATCAAGTTGCATGTTACTGTTGACTCGTATACGTTCAATATGTTCACTTGCGTGGGCATTAATCGGTGGTAGATTATTCATAAGTATCTCATCCCTGCAGGACATCATTCGTGGTAGGAATATTTCATTAAAGACATCTCAAATTGTGAAGCTAAGTGACGCGCTTCCAATCCACCAGTTAACCACAGTTCTGTCAAGATTACAAATACACCTTGATGAAATGTGACCATTAGTACGAAAGTTAGGTCTAAGGTTTCCCATAGACCACTTTCAACTACCACATAACACTGTTGAATAATATTTAGGAAAAGTACAGGTTCAATAATTTCGATGGAGTCTCAATGAATCAATTAAAATAAATTTAGCTCGTAAAATCTGAGGAAAGTACTTTACTTAAATTGAATTCTAAGTCTAATTATTCTCTATCTTCAACCATTCAAGTGAGTGTTTCATTTTGAAATTCGACCTTAATTAACAAGTATAATGAGGCAAAATATGTTGAAGCATAATGGAGAACAATTAATGATTTTAATTGTGATAATGATTTGAAACTTTTTGTTTGAGTAAACAAAATCTGTTTCCAAAATTCTCTATTCATTCGGATTGGTTTTGAGGTCACTATATGTACATCGAAGAGTATTTAAATGATATAAATACAAATGAGAGAATAAATCTCTCCTAACTCACTCATTAAGACATAGAAATAAATGTATGGTATATTATTTGAAATTCTACGAAATTATGTTGATGAGACATTCGGTCCATCAACATGGGAGGCTGCTGTACAAATAGTCAACGGACAACAACTGGAAATAGAAACTAATCGGAACTATTCTACACGATTACTAACACGAATAATCAGTACATTATGTGAGTTTATTGGTCTACCTGAAGAAGATATTTATTACGAATTCGGTATTAAATCTGTCGATTATCTGAGTAATAATGGTTTCCAGAGTTTATTACAAGTACTGGGTAAAAATTACATTGACTTCTTACATAATGTTAATGAAATGCACGAGTATTTACATTATTCCTATCCAAAAATTAAACCGCCTAATATACAAGTCACTTCAATCAATCACAATGTCATCACTTTGGTCTATTCTTCCGTACGTGAAGAATTTGCGCATTATCTGAGAAGTCAACTAATATATATTGCAAAATTGTATTTTCAATTGGATGTTAGTGCAAAATTAGTTGATAAAAGGAAGCAAGCAGCTTCACACATATACACATTTAAGCTATACAATAAAGGTTTATCATGGATTGAATTATTAGAGAAAGATAATCAACTCAATAAGTATATATCTCTATTGGATTTAACAGTCTCATTACCAGAGAAGGAATTTTTAGGCATACTACCTTTTCATTTGGTACTGACCAAGGATATGACAATCAAACGTGTAGGTAAGGGATTTTCATGTTTAAGAAATGATATATCGGGAAAGGAGTTTGTAACATGCTTTCTAATTTCAAAGCCGAAAACAAATCCAAATTTCGATGAGGTAAGTAATATGACGTGATCTATTCTGTAGATTTCTATTAACAATTTGTGTTATATTTGTTTGTATATATTTACTTATCAAAGTAATCTAATGGTGCATAACAAGTATTTACTCCATTCAAAGGAAGTTCACAATGTTATCATGCACAAATAGCACAAAACATTAATTGCATACACATGGTTCCTGTCATAATCTCGAAGAGCTCATGAACAAAAATTTAAGCAGAAGAACAAGAATTTATTAAAATTTAGTTTATAATGATTCCGTTGTTAATCATTTTGACTGGACTTTGATCTGTCTTAATAGACATCCGTACATCCTGTGTGCATTACGTAAGTAAATGGTTATCTGCACTCAGTAGGTAGGTGGATAGGACATAGAGTACTCGAAACGAAATGTACTGGGTTCGAGTTCCACGGTAAATATTAACTCTTAGTTGGAGTTACTTACACACAACGAGTCCCAGATATTGTAAACCGTGTATTCTGAATCCCGCCGCCGGCCACATTTCATCTATTCTACAGATTCACTTTATTCTTCTGGGTTCCCATCAACTGTTTGCTGAACGTAATGTTTAGATATCATAAAAACAAAATTGGTCAAAATTACTGTCATAAATGAGTTTAGTTGGAAGCTGTTTTGATCACATGTGACCACAGTATAAGGAGAATCTAGAAGATAAATCTAAGAGACTGAGTAAGATATTGTGAATGAATATCTTATGTGGAAGAACATTTCACAACAGTGATAGTAACAAAGGATTGCAAACAGGCAATTACCTAATGCGTAAACCCCAAAAACACGTGAGGATGTAACCATGTAAAAGAAATAGTTGAACAGAATTTTATAATATAACAAGGGAACGTTTGTTCTATCGAGTCAGAGGAAGATTATCAACAGTTTCCTTTTGGATGCAGAAATCCGGCTTCTGATGCCTGATTGAGACGGCCTTAACAAACTTCAGGAAACTGGAGCTTTGCCGTTTACTAACTATCTCGGGAGATTCTAATGTATAAACCTGTTGTCCTGTATTCAAGAGATGTATAGTAATTGCCCTCTTTATAACGCTTCCTCATTAAAGGCTTTTTGAAATATGTTCAAAATGTCTGAGATGTATATTCCTTTCTGTTCGATCAGTGAAGTTGCTTTGCAGATACATGTAAGTTTGTGGACATATTTGGTGGCAACATGAAAATGGTACTTGTCAACCTTTGTTTGAGTTGTTGAACACTTTTTACATAGGAATAGTAGTTCAGTTTCACAGCAGGTGCGGACATGCACTCTTCTCTCAGTTCTTCCAATGTCTGTGCTTTGGCATTTCTGAGCGTGTTCCAAAAAACTTGAGGCTGCGAGGGAATAAGGCCTTCAACAGCGCACTAGCTCGACATCTACTTGAAACCGGGCACACCATGGAGATTCCACATGCTTTCAAAATTATCAATAGACAAAGAAGTACGACCACCCTCCGTTTTGCTGAAGCCATCATGATCAAAAAACTTAAATCTGACTTATGCATCCAAAAAGAGACTTTAATTAACTTATCACTACCCTGGTAACCCCTTTTTATTTTATTTATTTATTTATTTTAAAATATTTATACTCCTCCCCTATTACATAATTCTTAAACCACATTATCATTCACACATTTCCGCCACCTGATCCTCTTAAATTATCTTAACTTTTCAAATTCTATTTTATTATTATTACGTAACCTATCTTATAATTACTCAATTCCATTATTACACCACCCAACCCGAATTAATTTCTTTTGACCTCTGATCTGTTCTAGCATATATATATATATATATATATATATATATATATATATATATATATATATATATATATATATATATATATAATTATTATTGTAACCCAGTTATTTACACTCATCTACGTCAATTGTTTTCACTATATCTCAATGTAAAAATTCTATCACAATTTTGGTTTGTAAGCAGCTGACGAGAAACCTCGAAATAATATGAATTCATACTATTCTGCACCATTATTTGTTCTTGCTTTATTTAAATTCATAAAGGGAACCAATTGCATGATATATAGTAGTTTTCTCTTGGACATTTTTCAACACTAGCTAGCTCATCTTACAGCTAGTCAATGGTATATATCCTTGCTAACCTACAAAATAGTGTTTCGACCGATGCTTTTCTGTAATCGGTTGAAAAACTATTGAAATTCGAGTGTAGACCATTTTAAGAACTTTTCTCTATTAGCCGAATGTTGAACTTCACCGTCTATTCTCTGTTGTATAACAATCTCAAGAAAGTAGAACATGTCGTTCTTTTCATAACCCGTAATAAACTGTACATCATGATGAGCCTTGTTGGAGAGCTTTAATATGAAGATTGCATGTTGGCTAATGTTGAAGGCAATAAAGTGTTGTCAACATACCTGTAGTATTCCATCATTTCGTTAATTCCTTGTTGAAGCTTTGTGTTTTCAAAATCCTTCATAAAAATAATCGTTGTAATTCAGTTTATTAAGCTTCACTACCGATTTGACAGTTTACGGTATAGTAGAATTCAAATTGAACATTTTTATAGACATAAGTATCAGTCATTTGTATCCGGATACTGGTCAAGATAGGAGACCAGGATACTGACAAATTGTTGTTATCACTGTTGTAAAATGTTCTTCCACATAAGATATTGATTCACAATATCTTACTCAGTCTCTCAAATTTATCTTCTACATCTTCTTATACTGTGGTCATATGTGTTCAAAACAGCTTCGAACTAAACTCATTTATGACACTAATTTCGACCAATTTTGTAATTATGATATCTAAATATTATGGGTAATGAACGGTTGACGAACACTCAATCGAATAAAATACACCCAAGTTATTCTTCCTAAATTTTAGTTCCAGCTTCCCTCAAGATACTAACTGTTACAATGTTTCGTCTACTTATCGAACTGAAATACTCATTCTCAACACTGAATTTTACAAATTACTAATGTTTGATGAAATCGAAGTACCTACAGTAATCCATAAACCAGTGCAGAAAACTGACCGATTGGATCTTTTCTCAATGGAAATGTCAGTTTAAGGAGAGATTAAATTCATTTGAATATTTGACTCCACTAGAAATCGCTTTTTTTTACTAAGAATTTGCATTATTACAATCGTTAGTGTTCAATCTGTAGTGATGTTGATATAATAAAAACAGGATCAGATGTCAAAAAATGAATCAACTTATTATTTTATGGAAAGACTGAAATGAAGGGCATATGAAAATTTTAACCACTAGCTCGTCAGATTAGATTGTTGAATAAACTTTGCGAATTGTTTGTTATTTACCAACCGAATGAATTCATAATATAAGCTAAATACATGAAAAAGCAAACGTAAGATTTCTGAGAGTTACATACCAGTATTTACTTGCATACTTTCACAACCACTTAAAATGATCTTCTCCATTCCTTTATCAATATATTTTTACTTCACTTACTATCATTTATAGGATTTGCATTATAACCGTGTTCACAACAGATTTTATGGTTTATGTCACTGTCATCTGCCTAACTCGCCTATTGAGTCGTATTTAATGCATACGGTCAAATAATCGTCTCAGTTACTAAGATTTCAGTTGTTTCATAAGATATTAGTAGTTCTAGCCGGTCATGCCTTCATATAAACAAAATAACCTCCGGAAATTCCTGCTCAAATCTAACACATTCTGTTTGTTGAAAACTCCTTATTGACCTTAGGAGTGGGATAACTCGAGAGCATTCAACATCCCTAAAGCAATTTGAAAACACTCCTCACAATTACAATCGTCCAATTTTGTAGATAATATGATGTATTACTTCATTTAAAACTTCCTATCACCATAAAGAATAATTTTAAAATCTTATAGAAAAACAATCACGTAACATTCACGTGTTCATAATCTATCACCAAAATGGAAACCGGTAGGAATGTGACGATGTATTGATTTGTTATTGAAGTTCTCATTTCCGATTGAACTTCTATTATTTTCTTCTAATTTATTTTAGATATATTTAAACAGGTTCAGCACTTTTGAAATAATTCTCTTGAACAAACCTTCGTCAAAAAGTGAGTTACAATTTTCATTCAATCTTTTGTCAACTTGAAGATATACTGATAATGTATCTAATAAATACCACTGAACAATCTACAGATATTCCTCCATAGGAGTTTCATTTATTGAAAACTCTTGTAAATTATAAAATGCAAGATCAATAACTTACACTCTTACACTGCATTCAAACAGTCAAATACAAAACACAGTCAAGTATGACGTTTCATTTGTATATTAGGTAAAACAAGTGATATTCTATTTTATATTGTTTCCCTCGACGTAACTCAATGTACCTGATGTAAAGCCGGTTGGTTTTAGTCAAGACATTTATGAGGTAAACGTTACTCAAATATCAAGAAAATAAACGTATATGATATATATACAAGTGGAGTTTTGTTCTCAGAATATTAGGAATGAATTGGACAAAAATCTACATAATGAACAAAGAATTTACTCAGTGGTATTGGAAAAATTTACCGACTCATATTATCACTTAACACACATAAACCGTAGGATCTTGAGAGGACAACAGTGGTAAAGCTTCGGTCGGTTAGAAACTGATATTCCTTTCCTACCGTAATGATTGAGATGGTTCATGTGTTAGTTAACTTTGTTTTTTGATAAATTAAAGGATCTGGTATAGTGCAACTATTGTAATTTGACTGTTACATGGCATTCTATCCACCCTAAATTTGTACCACACATAACGATTACGGAAAACTAACTATTCTTTTCTCTCGATTATTTTTCTTAAAAATGACGATCAAACAATAGATACTTCACTTCATCTACCTACTGGCTAAAATTATTCAATCACTTTCATTTCATATGTTTCAGGTAGATCTTCTAAAAATGCTTCGAAAGTTGATGAGAATTGCCGCTTCAAAGGAGCAATGATCTATGTTGAAGAATGGTTAATGCTGTTATTCATAGGCACACCTGTGTAAATAATTACAAATAAATCACATTGTTTATTTGTTTCACTTTTATGATGATTACTTTGTGTTTCAAGATGACAAGAAATTGTTTTTAAGTTTCTTAACTAGAGTAATGACGATTTGACAGCTCCAACTGCTCACCATATTATTTTGCATTTTTCCAAACAAACCTCACCATTTGTTTGCGTCATGACATTTCCAATCACTGACGGCTTCCATTAAAGTAGTTTATTCTCTGTACGTGACAGTCAGTGAGTTGTTTTAAAGCACTGGGAGAAGATCTGTAGATCACTTCGTGGTTACCAGACTAAGTGATTCGAACGAGTTGCTGAATTTTGTTCTTCATATTTAAGTAACATCAGGATAACAGTCCATGAAATAAAGTTCATCATAGTTCGTATTGTTGATAATCAGCAACTGGAGGACTATAGAAACAATTGTTCAACAATTGTTCTGTCCTCTGTCTAGACTTCGTAGCCGTGTCCATCATCGACACGGAATGCGATGAAGTCCAACAAATCTAAACCACAAAATAAAACTGCACCATCCACTTTCTGATTTGGAATTTTACTGCTGATTACTTTCAACTTAAGCCAATTGGCAAAATACCACAATTATTATCTGAAGTCATCAGCGAGTATATATAACTCTAACTTGTACACTACACAGGTTTCAACTTGTCACTAGAACTGTGGGAACTCATTTCGGTACAAAACCTGAAACCTTTTTGTTCGATTTGTTATGGACCTGTAAGTGTGCACAGCCCTTGATCTCAAACGAAGAAACACTAATTGTCTAGAGCTGTTGAGTTTCCGATGGTTCTCAGGATGATCTTCATTCATCATTCATCAGACTCTAACTGTAAAGGTTTAAGCAACACAATTAGTTGAGAAGAGGAAACACATGTATTTTACTCAAATCAGGAGTATTCAATAACTACCTGATATGGAACTTTGCCTATACGATTTGTCGTAGATATCTCATGAATTCACAAAGTGAAGTTTGTTACCCATAGACAAGTTGTTATTATTAGCAGACTTTGTATCACTGAATCCAATCATCCAGTGGTATATTGGGAACCACAAGTTGGTAGTCGTTTGATGGTCATATTTTGAGACAAATCAGTATTTTAATTCCTTTTTAGATCGTAACGGTTCTAAAGTCGATGTAAGTACACAGTTTAAATAATCTATGTTTACAGTCAACCAGAAATATTTTATTGATTATTCACATTTGCTTTCAACATTGAAATCGACTTCAAAGATAGTATAAAGTGGTACGTGTCATTTCAACTAAATCCATATGAAGCACAACTTGCATTATATAAGAATTATCAATGAAACTTATTGGTTCCTTCCTATACAAGAGAAGTCAATCATTGTTTATTTCTGTTACTACCTGCTATCATTTCTGTACATAAACCTCTAATACATCAATATTACAAAATTCTTGATTTCCCTTACAAGTTCTAAACCAATCTGAATGCTGAATCATCTCGATTTCTATCCCTAAAATATTCAGTGCTTCATCACTACAACTGCTACTGTTTGTTGCTCAAACTACATTTTTGTAGTCATTGTCAAATAAATCATTGTAATTAAGTTAGTGTTCTATATGATCATGTATAAGTAGAATGAACCTTGAAGTGAAGGGGACTTGTTCCCGAACTCTGGGCTTCTAACTCGAATTTCCAGTACCATCATTATTTTCTCTATGCAAACAAGTGAATTCCAGGTGATGTCCAACATGAAGTTATTCAATAATTCTTCACTTTGTTGTATAATATTCAGAGATCTCAAATTGTCAATACCATGTCCATGTTATTTAGTTTCAAAACTTGGGAATATTACATTGTTGTCATAATTTGTAGTGTTTTATTTAATTTGATTTTATATCTGGAGCTTTGATAAACAGTTGGACACGAATTTCTAGAGTATACTCAATTTATTTGTGTTTATCTCAAATTTATTCCAGTAGCTTGTAAGCTCCTCAATATACTTAATTCTATTTCCATATTATTTACTTCCGACTGCAGAATTAGAGACACGAAACAATTATACGAGAAAAAACTACGGATTTCTGATCTGAATACATTCGACAGCAGCCGTGATATAATAATTCAAGGAAATCAACAGTCTGACGAAGTTATGAAACTTTACGAAAAAGTGAGTTTCTCATCATATTAACAAATATTAGAATATATATATCTGTCGGAATAAGTGACTGCCTTGTCGATAAATATATATTAAATAATCCATTAAACTGTAAAATGATATTGGTTGACGGTTAATACATATATTAGAGCAATAATTGACGTAAAAAAGTGTGAATAAATTGCAATAATAAACATATGTCAGATACACGAATATTTTATGGTTATATCTGAAAGTAACTTCACCTGAGCCCTTCTAGTGCTGCTGGCTATTCGAAGCTCAGGTTATGGAGTAGAGTTAGGTATGGAGTTATTCACCATATTCAATAAAATATAATCATTCTGAAAATACTAACCAGAATAAATAATTTTCGTCATTTAAAGTCTTTCCTAGGAGTTGAAGGGTCTTCGTTCAGAAGAGTTATGACGGCTCATGATGATAGCTCAGGTTATTCGGAAAGTCACGAAGCCGTTGTCCCTTCTGACAACCATATCAACAAATAAAATAAATAAACGGAATATCCGCGCAATGTTGGTGACCAGAAGGACGGTTCAAGTAGCTGAGGATATGAGAAGATTCAACCTTGTTTTGATTAGAACATGTGAGACCCACTAGACACAAGCTGAACGGAAAAGATTAGCTTCGCGTCAGATTCCGTTGTATTCTGGTCACAAACAACAAGAAAATGTCTCGGACACATGAAATTCCACTGATTCTACCCAAGGAAGTACGAAAAAAACACTTATAGGATGGGAATCTCACCGCTCTAGCATCATCAAAGTATCCTCTAAAACAAAAAAGAAGAGGGTTACAATCAATTTCACCCAGTGCTACCCCCCTCCCCAAAAAAGTGATAGCAATGAAGACGATAAAGACCAGTTTTATGGGGGGCTACAGTTCATTGTAGAGACCTGTCCAAGGAACAACTTGACCATCGTGATGATAGATCTGAATACCAAGGTCACTATGCAAATATCGGGTGTGAAAACATCATGAGACGACATGGACTTGAAGAAAGGAATGAGAACGGTGAAAGACTGGTAAATTTAAGTACTCACAAGAACAGGATTATATGTAACACCATTTCTCATCACCAATACATACACAAAGCTACATAGGTCCTACCGAACAACATTACAGCAAACCATATCTTTGACACTTCATCAATGAAAACTTCAGAAGGCCCATTGAAAAGTAAGAACAAATAGAAGAGCTGATTTAGCCTCAGATCACCACTTGGGGGTAGCTAGGGTGAAACTGAACAGCTGAAAAAACAGCATTACAAAGTTCGATGTAGTTTCCCTTTGAGATGCTAGGGAGTTCAGAAAATTCAAGTTTGCACTCAACAACAGGTTTCAAGCCATATAAGATCTCAACAAAGTGGGAACTACTATTGAGAAGAGCTGGAAAGTAATTAAAGAAGCTATAACGTTAACATCCAAGGAGATGCTGGACTACAAGAAACACCAGAATAAACAGGTGATCGTTGTTGATACACTGGACAAGATCCAGAAAAGGAAAGACAAAAGATAACAGTGAACAATAACTGGGGAAAACAAAGAAAGTCAAAGAAGAGGCCGAATATACAAAGTAAATAGATAACTGGAATGGAGGAAGCTGTAATACAAGGAAATATGAGACAACTATATGATAAAAAGAAGAACCTTCTAGGCACTTGTTTTAAACCAAAGCAATCAGTCAATAACAACGAATGCTAATCAATAACCGGGATCCAAGGGCGGCGGAACGGGTGGATAGAGCACTTTTAAAAGCTCCCGAATAGGCGAACTTCCCTGAGTCCAGTGGATATCGAACCAGAACACACAGACCTTCCTATAAGTATTGCCGCACCAATAATAGATAAAATCAGCGTAGCCATCAGATAAATCAAGAGTGACAAAACATTTGAATCAGAAAGTATACCATTGAATCACTAAAGTTCGACATAAAGGTAACTGTAAAGATGGTTCACTTTTTCTTCACAAACACATGGTGGACAGAACACGTACTAACAGGCTGGAATCAGGGATGCCACATCAAGATACTGAATAGAGGAGACCTTAGTGGAAAAACTGAGGAGACAACACATTGCTGTCAATGATAGGGAAAGTTTTCAACACAGTGTTGTTGGGTCGAACAAAAGGCTTAGTGGACACACAGTTTCGAGATCAGCAAGCTGAATTTCGTAACGATAGACCATGTGTCGACCAAATCATGACACTATGGATAGCTGTTGGACAAGCATTTGAATGGAACTCGCTACTGCAGATGCACTTCCCTGATTTTGGGAAGGCATTTGACAGCGTATAATCTACTTCGACAATATGGGATACGTGAGAACATCACCACCATATGCATAGACGGTAGTTGGTAGATGGATTCCAATTGAAGACTGGCGTCAGACAAGCTTCATAGTTTCAGGTTTTCTTTTTTCAACGGTTGCTGCCTGGATCCAGCTAGATGACTTGGACTTCACAGATGACCAAGTTCAAATTCTCATATACACAACAACAAATATAGACGAAGGCAGCCATTCTAACAGAACCTCCGGAGAAGTAGGTTTCAACATCCAAAAAGTTAAAAACCAAGATCCCAAAGTATAACAATGAGAACACCAATCAAATTCAACTTGATTGAGAATATCTGTAAGAGCTGTAGGCTTTTAAGTACTTGAGCAGTATCAATGATAAACAAATGAGATCTGATGTAGATGTGAAGTCATGGATTGCCAAGAAAGAATATTCTCACAAATGAGGCAATACTAAAATCAAATCAACTGTCAGCCAACAACCAAGCCAGATTTTTCAGCATTGACGACGAAAAATGACGTAGTAAATTACTAAAACTTAGGTTAACGTAAATAAATGTGGAAAATATTTCTCAGTAACAGACACACAAGCGATCTATGAATATTTTATGGTGATACTTGAAAGTAATCAAATTATACTCACATCGTTCAAAATAGTAATATTTACCTGCACTATTCAGAAAAGATTTATATTATAACTGTTAATTCATTTCAAGACAACTAAAGTTACATAATCACGAACAAAGGTTTTTAGTGAACATCAAAATCTTTGTATTCTTCGAAAGCATGGTGGATTTGGTCAAAAAGGAACGTTGACATTAGTCGTTGTTAATCAGGCCATCTCGACGACAAATGTACCCTTCAAATATTTCATTCTGAATACCATTTGGTTTGAAATTCAAATACATGGTTCATTAAATTGGAAATGTATGGTTGTAATTAAAGAAAACTGTTCATGCATTTGAGTTTCATATGTTAGATCTATTTTTCACCTGACACTCATTTTTTATCTTCCTCAATTCACTTTACTACTTGACATTTGTTAGTAGTTTGAGTAATGTTCGGATATTTTACAACCTCATTAGGTAATTCTGTGTCAATAAACCAAAGATTTGTACTCCTAATTTAATGTTTTATTTTATTTCTTTGATAATGATTAATAAGGATGAGGACTTGTAACCTGACTTTAAACACAGTTATATCTGTCTGTAACAGAATGATAATATGAAGCATAACGATTTCACCGATACAATTAACAATTTATGAATTATTGTAGGATATACTTAAATTCGTTAAAATTATTAGCTTACTTGCAATCAGAAATAGTGACTTTGATTATCTAAACGAATGTTCAATCTGTTATCAATTCTAGGCTGAAACACAACAGTTTCCTAGGAAGAGTGTTCATATTGAGAAATTTCGTTCATTTACATACGCAGATTATCAAAAGCGAAGATTGCAGTGTCTACTTCACAATTGATTGATCACTTGGTGTTGATCAATATCATGTGTATCAAGTCCTTCTTAGTGCAGATCGAATGCTGTCGATCACGTCGCAATGTGGCCACCAGTCTAGGTGACTTGACATTGCGTGCACTATATTGAGTTTAGATGGTGGTTGGAGGTAGTTAACAGGAACCGCTTGACCCGGGTTTCGTGCTACATGGCACTAGTCAGCAATGTATCTCACGCAATGTCGAGTCACCTAGACTAGTGGCCACATTGCAACGTGGTCGATAGCATTCGATCTGCACTAAGAAGGACTTGACACACATGACACTGATCACCACCCAGTGATCAATCAATTGTGATTACATCCCAGTCCTACAAGAGGTCAATCATGTCCCGGGTAGGTCAGTGGTAACGTCTCTGGCTATAAATCTGGGTGACCCGAGATCGAATCCGTCAGGGAGCACTAGTTCCCTCTAGATTACAGGCACATCTTGCTGACGAGTGCCAAGTAGCACGAAATCCGGGTTCAGGGTTTCCTGTTGACTACCTCCAGCCACCATATAGTGTCTACTTCCAAATAGCAATGTAACGGTTGCCAATGAAACATTTGGTAACTGAAACTGCGGCACGAACTAGCTAACATCTCCTGTCACAAATGTCATGTTTTCTTAATCGTCTGAATAACAGATCACCACGAGTAAATATATCGACAACATTTTTTTCAGATATTAATAATAATCATGTATTAACTGAGCTGACCTGATGCATTAACTTCGTTTCATTACTGTTTGTTTCCAAAGCAACGTCACAAGGCTAAACAAATGGAGAAGAGTATGATGCAATTAGAAAAGATTAGGAAAGTTACTGATGAATTGTTGTATCAATGTATTCCTAGTACGGTGGCCAGGAAAATTAGAAACGGCACTCCAGCGATCGATACAATTCAGGTTCGTTAACATCGTTTTAGCTTGTAATTATATTTTTCCAAAGTTATCCATGTTTTAGAAACGGTTATATTAATGATGTCTAGACATGAACACTTTGGTTGGAATCAAATATTTCATGTAACGAAATACTCAAACAGTCTATTTCAGATATTCTACATTTATGCCTAAATATCACCTTATTTTCACAACATTAGTCATATTTCATTGATTTTGGAAAATAGATGATACTCAATGATATGCCGAGGAAACTTCTTCGTTGCTAATTCATGAGTGGACACGTAACCTCAAACATGTGATCCTATTCTCTCGATTTTAAATAGGTACTTCCTTAGACTTATTGCACTCCTAATCACTGGTTGATAAGTATGTATATATTTGATAGAAATCTCAACATTGAACTCAAGATACTCTTGCGCATATTGGGGACGAATTTCAGGAGTTGTTAATAAAATCTAACAATCATAAAGTGTATGCTCAATTTGCAAAATGCCCACCAATTGTCTCAAAATGACTCAGACTTCATTGTTCTTGCATTTTCATACAAATTGCATCCTGTTTCCATTCTTTAATATTCAATCCTCTTGTCTCTCTGGTGCCAGATCTTCTGTTCACGACTAACATCATATACTACTTATGTCAATATAAGTAGCACACACCACACCAACAGTGTCTGTTGTGAGAAATTAGCTCACTTAAACGACGGCCGGTCATTCATTCGGTCATACGTAAATTTACTCCGAGAAATTTGCTTGCACCAAACGTCAGAAATTTCACTTTCTACTGGTTGAGATATCACATTTATAGCACTGTATTACTTATAACATTCTACCCAATGCTTAATTTCTCTAAAATGTTCGAGCCTGACCTCGGTAATGATAACAACGATGAGAGCTATAATTTTCACCAATTTAGAAGCGTCAGTCGGGATTTTGAATAGAATGTCCACACTCGGACAGTTATAAATTGGAGCACTCTCCCATTAGAAATATCATCTAACTATGTGGTAAAATTATTCTTCGAAACATCCAAACATCTCATGTCTGAACATTCAATTCTAACGTCAACAATTGTGGCGTGTTCGTTTCACAGCTTGTACTAACTAACGCATTTGCTTATTGACCAGTACCTATGTTCATATACTGACAAAACCTAACGAATTTTTATCATCTCATTTCATCTTAGACATTTGATGAAGTGACAATATGTTTTACGAAAGTGGTGAACTTCGCTGCAAAATGTATGCACATAGGTGTTGAACAAGTAATAGAGTTGTTGAACAGAATGTATTCTTTCTACGATGCTTTGACTGAAAATCATAAAGTCTACAAGGTAAGTATATTTTTACCAAAATATTCAAGTATCTAGATGTTTTTAGTAATATAATCCATGCATTACTCAAACCGTATTCATCAAAAATAATCGACTTTGGTTCATCACAAATCACATGTCTGATGTATATGTTTCTCCATTATGATGGAATACTTCACAGTTAAAACTACAATGCTGGACCAACTTTTCAATGCTTAAAACTGATATAAGTTCAGAAACTTAGACAGATTTTGAAAGAAGATTGTAAACTATTGAAAGGACATTTGTAACAGGGTTGACGTATAGCGTAGATTCAGTGTTATACAATTGTTAAACTAGGTAGAGAATGCAAAACAAGATCTAGTGAGTGTATTGGAATAGAATGAGTGTTTCCGGTGCACTCAACTCATTGCTATCAAATAAGGCTTTTGAGGAGTATGTTGATCTAGAACTTCAGCATGTATCCAAACTGAAACCACAAATTCAGTGTATCTGACAGAAACAAATAAACAATAGTCTCGTTTAAGCATAAACTTTCTCTTTATAAATGAAGCTGGTTTAAACAGGATGCTTGAAGTTATCTCCAGACGCGTTCATTCATTGCTTCAAAACACCAATCAGGTCATCATATATGACTACAATTTAACGACACATTTAACTGACTTAAAAGCTCTGATCAGATTCACAAATCCAACCGGAAGACCGACAAGTATGGAAAAACAGTAAGCTCAACCACTTCGGTTGATGATATGTTTTCAGTAGGGAATATGTTCCACCATCCTATTCAGATCAACATTTTAGAGTCGATAATGTAAGTCCGATAGTCTCTCCGAATGGACTGCTACTGTAAAGATAAAACAGTCAAACAACAACAGGTCTGTAATATTATTGTACTTCTAAAGTGTAACACACAGTCAATGTGACATCAAAATAACTCTGATACCTACCTACCTACCTGGGAGATGACTTGACCAACATCTATCGCATGTTTCTTCTGATCAAACCTGAGAGACAGTAATGTGATAAGCTGATGACAACACTACTGTACTTACCGGCGACTAAATAGATTGGTAGACAAGCCGATCATTGAAAACATGTTCGTAATACAGTATGTGAGTTAGAAGTTAAACATCAAACCAAATAGTTTATTTTCACAAAATAAAACACTGTGTAGTATACTAAACATCGAAGTCAGCTCGGTATACCCATAACAGATGTATGTCTAAATTTTCATCTCATCATAAAGACTGAATATCATGAGGAAAACTATCAGCGGGATTCTAATCATTTTTTATTTTATTGAAACAACTGTCTAACAAATACATGTAGAGTAACATTTAATTGGTGAGAGTTCGCTGACAAGATTTATGAGTAGAGCTTAACTCGGTACTTTTCAAAACACTTGATCTTATCTTTGATAAGATGCGGTAACGAGGCTGTGGTTTGCTCCTACTCTGTTTTCTACACTTAAGCCAATATTTTTAGATCGTTACTTCTCATAATAAGTGAGGTTTGATGAGAAAGATACATCTATTCGCGCAACTCGCACTTAGGCTAATGTTTTCATCCAACTAATTTCACTCATCCTAACATGCTAAATAGTATCTCACTTTCACATCCTGAGTTTAAAATTTATCACCTGACGAATAAGCACACTGATATTTCTACATGTTTTTTGAATATGCCACTTAAGGAATCAGTAATAACTACCATATAGTCCGGTTCTTCTGTATTTCTATATCACAGTGACCTGTAAACACTAACAATCATTTCATCTTATTAGTCTCGTAATTCGAAATTAGTACTTTTATTGATGAATCGACAAGAAACTACCCCAAAATTTGATGTTGTTTAACCCAAAGACAAGAAAAAACAATCATGTAGTTTCTGTTTGATTTGAATTATATTTTGCGATGAAAATTCGACTACAAGTTTGATTTCTATTAACAAATAATTTCCACTCTACTCATTCATATTTGGAAAGGTTGAAACAGTCAATGACAGTTATATGTTGGTTTCTGGAGCACCACACAGGACCCCATTACATGCTGCACACATAGTCGACACAGCACTAGAAATCATAGAAGTAACTCTACTCAGTCTTTACTGGCCAGAGTCAACTGAAAATATCCCAGCTAATAATAAGAATAAAACTGTTTATACGGATGAAAACTTACATCTTTACATTGGATGTCATACTGGTCCAATTGTTGCTGGTGTAGTCGGTTATAAAACACCACGATATTGTTTATTTGGTGATACAGTGAATACTTCAAGTAGAATGATGAGTCATGGTTCAGTAAGTTAACTTATCTACTCACGTCGAGACAATGTAGTCGATTAAATAATGACTACAATCACTTTTTGCATTTTTAAAGTTTGGACATAATGATCGGCTTGTTATTGAGCTATATAATCTGTGGAATATATCGGAGGACTGAGATATTTATGTTGTTGGTGAAAGATATGGAAATGCATAGGTAGTTTCTAAAGTGGGAGATGTTGCTTATACTGATAACCGAGTGAAGAAGACAACAAATTTTCGGTGGTTTAAGGAGGATTATGAACGTTCCGAAGATGATTGTTTCTAAGACAACAATCGACTTCCAATGTCGACATAAACATTGGACGTATACAGTCCCTTATGCGTTTAAGCAGCCCGTTCACTCCATGACTAACCGAATTCGGTAACATTGTCTGACCACCAGAACCTGACTTGTTATTACCCGTTGGCATTCTGTGAACAATATGAAACTAAGACAAGGCAAGCACACCGCCACAAATGATGAGTAAATGTACATTGGTTGAGACTGAAGCACTCCTAATAAGGGTTATCATGTATCCGGCAAATAATTTATCAGAATAGGGTTGTTGAGAATGTTGAGTTTGGAATGATATTATGAATGGATCAGGTTCTCAATGGTGGTTCTCACTGACTTACTGGATAAGTTCATTTCTGAATCAAAATGAGAATTCCACAGTATAATTACTATTGTCACTATTAAAACGTGAACAAGATTTTCAGATTGTTTTAGTTTTTCGTCCAGAAATTCAGTGATCAGAGTGAGTGAAGTCGACCTAACAAATAAGTAACTTGTTGTGAAAACTCATATTAGGAGAGAAAGCCATTATTTGCTCGTCAATAAATGCACATTGTTTTTGACGTACATACAATTGAGCTTCCATTTGTGAAGAAATTATGACAGTGTTGTGAATATTTTCATTGTTACTTGAAACAATACACATACAGATACATAAGATCTGTAAGACAGGAATTGTTAGAACATAGATTGAAAAGTTTCCAATGGTCTTTGTTTTACCAATCTATCTCAATATATTTTACATGCAGTTCTGATCACTGAAACACTGATTCAAGCTTAATCATCTTCGAAAATTGATGAGCCAACATTTTCATCGATTAAACTTTCCACAGACGCAATTCTCATAGTGAGACTGTATTTCAATCATTATTAGAAAAAAACTAATCATAAATGCTGACAAATTTGTCTAGGAAATATTGTATTCGGAATGTTGCAACCCTAAACTTTGGATCTAGTTTCAAATCAAGTTAAACAAATTCTTTCATTTCTCAAATAGATCTAGAGTGATCAAACGATAAATGCGAAATTTCCTCACTGGTTTAATCAATGTTATGTAAATCGGTAGATTCTATTCAAGTCATTTTTCCATAGTTTTTTATTCCGAAAATAAAACCATCATCATATGCTACACTATTGCTTTTTATTCAACATTTATTCTTCACTTTCATGTACATTTCTCTCATTACCAGCCAGACAAAGTGCATATTAGCGAATCTTGTGCTCAGTCTTTATCACCTTATCCATATGAAACAGAATGTCGAGGAGAAATTCCAATCAAGGTATTTTATGCTGCAAATTTGCTTTTCACTAATCTATATTCTGATTGAAGTAATTATATATGTAAATATTTTTTTAAAAGAGCGTTATCATACAAGTGTTGGGTTGTGAGTCGATCATGAATTCACATTCGATTATGGTTGGCTGAAATCAGATTTTTCATGGATCTATGTCGCAACATGGTGGTTGATACCGATTTTGACACGACAAACTATTGTATAGCATTAGACTAACCGATTCATGAAGTCAGCTATTTAGGTGAGATTTACCAGTATGTTCGAGACAACTCTATTAAAGGATTTATTAATTAAAAGATCTCTTAGTGTAGACAATTGGTTAATTTACAAAAGTTTACTTAACGTAACTGGAACAGATGTCTCATTTACTCATTTTTCTGAAGTTCGATAAATATAGGGGTGGATTATGCTATCGGATAAGAAGTTGAAGCTCTCTGAGCGATCCTATTGAGTAACAGTGACCCATCAAGATTCACCTACTACTGCATAAATGACACGAACTTCATATAACCCCACTAGGCCTACCAATAAACTATGAATTAAGGTGTGATGAAACAACAGATATCTGTTTACGGCTTCTGACATAACTGAGCAAAGTAATCAGTGTTCTAATCTATAAATCAACAGATAACTACAACGATAAACTCAGGGTTTATTTGATAAACATGTTTATGAGTCTAGTTAGGGAAGGCAACGATAAATATGATGAATCACTTATCATGCTTGTTATTCAACAACTTCTAATTTCAAGATAGACGAGGTTTACTCTGAGTCTTTTCACTTTTTAAAATTGAAATAAATTTTTCTAACAAGTTCACATAACATCTATTCACTGTAATCTGAAAATAAATCAACTCATTTCTGAGCTGTTCTTCGTAGCATGACTCACATTTACGTCTACTTGTAAAGTATTATGAAGTGTTTCTATTTCGAACTATGTATTCATGAACCTTCATTTGTGAGAATATTTTCATCAGAGATCTTCTATTCTCTGATACTATTTCGGACCTCGTATGATTAAGAGTGATTCATATTTTGAATCATTGTAAACGGAGTAATCGAAAACAATTGTTTCCTCCTTGTTGCAATGTATCTGAATCCTTTTTGATGTCATGCTGAAACTCAAACCCAACTCCTAACACTTTGAACACAGGGTTGTAAACCGTACAGCAACTGAGTCATGATATTCACTAGGTTTTTCAGGAAATAAGACATTTAATATCGGTACATTCATTCGAGGAGTTTGTAAGTCAACAGAAAATGAAAATACAAACAATTACAATTGTGAATAACAGTTATGAATAGAAATTTAAAATTATTTCTGAATGTGGAATTTTATAACACACCATAAGTATTATTTGCCTAATTTCCTTCGTTCAACTCTCAAGGGATTGAAGCAACTCATCAATTGTAATATAAGCTTGGTAATGTTTAACAAATTTTTGACTAATAACATAGAGTATAAAGATGTGAAAAGGTTTTCACCATATGCACACAGTCAGAAGACCAATTTCATAGATGAAATTTAATGGGAAATCGGTCAAAATAAGTATTCGGAAGAGAAGTTCTAAAGTTTCAAGTCTGAAATATTTCTCTTTAACTGTCACCATACATGTACAATGTATCTTAAACATGTGTTTCATAAATTTATACACAACTTGCAAGTCCTGAACCACTCTCAAAACATTTTTTACGTTGATAGGGTAAAGGGAACATGAAGACATACTTCGTCACAGGTCGGAAACCAGAATTCGTCTTCCAAGACACGACTGATGGAGGCAGTCGCAATTTTGCTGAAGTTCTCAAAGAAGACATGCTCAAAGACGATGATATACCATCGGAAAATTCGGATGACTCTGCGAAATTCTCCATCAATTTGTCCGACGCAAGTGGGACTACCGAGGAAGAGTCTCCTCCTGCATCTCCGAAGGATGATAGAGAACTAGAAGTGAATGAGAAGATATCTGAGAAAAAAGACAGAAAATCCAGTAAAGGTGGGAGTAGACGTTCAAGTAAAAGCGGTCAGAAACGCCGTCAATCTCAGCCACTCTCTAATACAACTTCACCAACGAACGAGAATCCTGATGCCGAGAACCAACAAAGCAGCTCAGGTTTTGTGAACAACCAAAACACAACTGAAGTCCTAAATGAAGCTGCACGGCGTCTAGTCGAAACGAAAATAAAAGATGTAAAGAATGAACAGAAGAAGAAACAGGATATTACATTCAGTCTTGATAATCCCAAGGAAATCTTAAAAGAGGCTCCCAGCGAAGCGGATTTGCAAGCAGTGGACAACAATGTTGACGAAGCTACTTTGTTCAAATCGAAACCAAAGGCACCTGAACGTTCTAGATTAATTAAACTCAATCCAGCAAACAAAGTCTCCAGTGTTTCTGTCTCCAGCAAACCCATCCAACCTACTCCTGATAAAGTTGCTGTGAACAATGTGAGTTCGGATGTTACTGAGAGTGCACAAAATGATGATAACGATGAAGTTACTCAAGAGACTGGCAATCAGGAAGACAGTAAGTGAATTTCCAGTTTTCAGGGAATTACGGTTATTACATTACATTACGATTTCAAGCAATGTTCAGTTATATTTCGTCAGACATACACTGTTTTATCATTCACTTTTCTCTAAACCATGAAATACCAGGTTACAAATGTAGCTATAAGCAAACCATAATAATCTGTTAACTAGAACAAAATTCAGAATAATGTGATTTTGGTTGTAAAGCCGACGATTCACTGGATCATCTTTAAAGTTCTTTATTAAGGAGACTGTTTAGCTCGATACTCTGCAAACAATTGTTTGAAATTGCATGATCAGTGAACTCCTGAAACCACCCAAATTAAGTAACATTTCGCAACGCGTTTCATCATTTTTCACTAATTTCTTCTATTATTACTCAAAAGTTACTGTGATAATTTTCTCAATATACATGTTTACAGTTTTATAAATTCACATCTTAATTTCTTATCAATATGTTTCGTTTCATTTGAAGCCGTCCAACAATACCGTGAAATGGTGAAACAGGGCCGTTTTGATCCAGTACCAGATTTGCCATTCTGTTCACCTCAGGCAGCTATATTCAAAGATTTAGGTTAGTCACTCAGTTCGATTACGTGTCTACTTTATTAGTTATGTAAATATTTGTTGACCTAAATTTTACGACATACTGTTCCCTTGTTTTCACATCTTATTCATCGAAAACAGAGATATTGTTTGCTGCACAAATTTATTATGAAGTTCTGAATCGCAATTTAGTAAATGCCCACACTCGCTAATACAATTCATTATCACATTTGAAGGGTTTCATATTTCTTTTGAAGGTTTCAATTTGCATATACACTCATTACTAGTGCTTTAGTGCCTCTCTTATCTATGATTTATAAAAGTTTATCACAGCAATCTGATTGAAGATCTTTTGTCTTAGTTTGCATCTTATAAATTTTATCCAATGTTTAAGTAATTGCTATCCCAATTAACAGCAAATATTGTCTGTACAACCATAACCAGGTTAAGGACTACTAAATTTCTCATAATCATCGTTCTGGTTGATCAGTGATAATCACTACAACTAAATTTTCCAGATTATGTACCCAGTTAACACTGACAAAATGACCGTTCGATGACTTGGTTACTTTCAATTCACTTTTGAAATCTTCATTTTCTCCATTTTTCAGTAACAAACTTCGCCACTTCACTCCACAGATTTAAACATTCAGTCTAGTCATTTCCATTGAAAGTTTCACTGAACGTGAAATTGGCTTGTGGCAAAATTGGATAGATAGTTTGAGACGTGATCAATGACTGTTTCCTTCATATCTTAGTGCAATCACGTGATATGTTCTATTGCAATCTGATAGAATCTCCTAGAAAGGTCATCTATTTCAGAATGCTTACAGATGTAACAGTAACCAAGTGAATACATGATACATGCAAAGTCATGTCCTTCATGTTTTCAATTAGACAAAACACTTCACTTATACGTGACAGTATCAAAATCAAAGTGACTCTATTTATTAGTCCACTATGTTTTCCATTTCATTTCCAAATGATAGTCATCGTGCTCGTTAAAGTCCGTAGTTATTACAATGTCTGGTTACATCGCTCTCATTTATTGATAAACGTAGTCGGTCATATCCATGATTGAAGAATTTGTCAGTTAGTCGAAATAAAACTATATTCTGAATTATAAGCAAAGATGAATGGTGGCTAGCATTGGAATCCACAACGCGTGTTTCCCACTGTTTGGGACTTGTCAGTTGAATGCACCTGTACCAGAGTTGATGTTCGCTCTGAGACTCGAACATTATACCGTTCGCTTCAAACTCCATCGCATTATCCACATAGTTAATGAGTCCTGATAGACACCATCCGTCTTTGCTTATAATGCTTGTGACTTAAAGCAATATTGACGTAATCCACACAGGATGCATATATGCCAATACGAAACTGATCAATTGCAGTCCTAGACATCAATGGGAAGATGCAAACAAACATTACAAAATGAATATTCTGAATTGATTTCATTGTACTATTACATGATTAGTATTTCTCGTCACTACAATTTAAATGATTAACTATTGAAAAGAATTCAATATGCAGAAGAGATCAGTAGTAATAGTAGTAGAAACAGTAATAATAATTACTTACTTACTTAATTACGCCTGTTATTCCTAATGGAGCATAGGCCACCGACCAGCATTCTCCAACCCACTCTTCCATCGGCCTTCCTTTCCAGTTATATCCAATTTTTGTTTATTTTTCTCATGTCTATCTCCTTTTCTCTGAGTAATATGTTCTTTGGTCTTTCAATTCTCATCCTTTGAACTTGAGGATTCCATGTGAGGGCTTGTCTTGTGACGCAGTTGGGTGCTTTCTTCAATGTGTGTCCTATCCACTTCCAACGCTTCTTTCTGATTTCTTCCTCCGCTGGGATCTGGTTTGTTCTCTCCCACAGTACGTTGTTGCTAATAGTGTCCGGCTAAAGGATCCGAAGTATTTTGCCAAGACAACTGTAAATAAACACTTGTATCTTCTGGATGATTGGTTTCGCAGTTCTCCAGGTTTCCACCTCATACAATAGAACTGTCTTGACATTTGTATTGCAAATCCTAACCTTGGCGTTGGTTGACAGTTGCTTTGACTTCCAGATGTTCTTCAGTTGTAAATATGCTGCTCTTGCTTTTCTGATCCGCGCCTTCATATCTGCATCAGACCCACCATGTTCATCAATGATGCTTCCCAAATATGTAAATGTTTTTACATCTTCTAAATCTTCTCCATCAAGTATGGTTCGATTGGTGCATGCTGTGTTGTATCGGAGAATCTTGATTTTCCCTTTGTGTATGTTGAGACCTCCTGTTGCTGAGACTGCTGATACACTGGTCGTCTTCTCCTGTATTTGTTGTTGCGTGTGCGATGGAAGATCCAGATCATCTGTGAAGTCTAAATCGTTCAGCCGCATTCTAGATGTCCACTGTGTCCCATGCTTGCCCCCAGATGTTGACATCTTCATGATCTAGTCGATCACCAGGCAAAGGGGCAAGGGTGAGAGTAAGCAACCTTGCCTGACACCTGTCTTTACCTCGAACGAGTCTGTGACCTGTCCCCCATGGACGATTTTGCAGTTTAATCAATCATAGGAATTCTGTATGATAGTGACTATCTTCGGAGGCGCTCCGTAGTGTCGAAGAAGCTTCCATAGTGTTGTTCTGTCCACGATATCAAATGCTTTTTCGTAGTTATTGAAGTTGGTGTAAAGTGATGAATTCCATTTAATTTATTGTTGTACAATGATCCATAGAATTGCAATTTGGTCTGTACACGATCTAGCCTTTCGGAAGAGTGATGCCCCCGTAGTTATCACAGTTGCTGAGATAGCTTTTCGTTTCTATTTTAACCAGAAGTTCTTCTTCCTAGTCTCTTGATACTTGTTCCTCACCCCAAATCTTATCAAAGAGAATGTTGAGTATCTTTGCAGTTACCGCCACGCCTGTTTTCAGTGCATCTGCCGAAATGTTGTCTGTTCCTGCTGCTTTGCCACTCTTGATTTATCTGATGGCCTTACTGATTTCTTCAACTGTTGGTCGGCCAACATCGATTGGTGGGTCCGTGAGTGCTACTTTGATATTGGGTGGGTTCAGTGGGGCTGGTCAATTTAAGAGTTCTTTGAAGTGTTCTACTCATCTGCTTCGCTGTTCTTCGGTGTTGGTGATTACATTTCCCTCTTTGCTTTTCCCTGGTCCTTCTGGTTCGCGATAAACTCCAGCAAGTTTCTTCATTGTGTCATACAATTGTCTTTGATTTCCTTCACTTGCATCTTTTTCCGCCGTCATTGCTAAATCTTCCACATATTTACGTTTGTCGGTTCTGATGCTCCACTTAACCCGCTTGTTTACTTCTATATATTCAACTTGTGCCTTGGCTTTCCCTGCTCTTGTTCAGCTGGTATTGATGGCTGTCTTCTTGTTCCTCCTTTCCTGAATCTTATCCAGTGTATCAACAGTGATCCAACCATTGTGATGGTGCTTCTTATGGCCCAGAACCTCATGACATGTTGAATTGATTGCCTTTTTGATCCCCTTCCAGTTGCTCTCAACAGTAGTTCCTTCTCCACTGAGTAGATCATGAAAGGCCTGGAACTTATTGCTCAGGAATATCTTGAATTTGTTGAGTTTGTTAGTATCCTGAAGAGAGGCCGTATTGAACTTTTGTGATATTGTTCGCCCAATTGTTCAGTGTTTCTTGAGTTTCAATTTCATCTTGGCGACCACCAAGTGATGATCTGGGGCTATATCAGCTCCACGACCAAACCATCCAGCTCAGAGAACAAAACTCCACCAAAAAGGTTCACATCCTATAGGTGCATTTTATGATTGTTTAGACAGCATCATTGCAACTCCTTGTGTATGTGGGGCATTTTCTTCTTCACGGCCGGAGTATAACAGAAGCTCCCCTGAAGTTAGTCGTTATTGTCCAGCCTGCGTCCAACGTGTTTCACTGATGCCAAGCAACTTCGGGTTGTATCTTTTCATTTCTGCAGCAATTTGGAAGACTCTTCTGGTTTCTCACATTGTACAGACATTCCATGTACCTAAATAAATGTTTGCTTTTGTTGTCAGAAGGTGCATCGGCCTCGTGAATTCCGAAGGAACTCGGCTTTCATCATGAGGCGTCATAACTCTTCTAAATGAAGACCTTCTGACTCCCAGGGCAGAGTTTAAAAGGTTTGAATTATTTTTTCTGGTTATCATTTATTTGATGAGTTGGTTTTCTACGGGGTGGTGTTGCTAGCCCCAAGTAATAATAATAGTGTTATTATTATGATTATGAGTAGTAGTAGTAGTAGTAGTAGTAGTAGTAGTAGTAGTAGTGGTAGTAGTACTAGTAGTAGTAGTAGTGTTAGTAGTCTTCATTTTGTAAGTAAACAATCCGAAGTAGGTTGAATGAAATCTGTTTCTAATCTTCAGCTTCAAATTTTATGAGGAGAATCGATGAAAACTTTACAGAGTTTTGGGAAGAAAAACTACGAAAATTGAAAGATTTAGGGTGTTAACTTCAACGTTATACCACTGACAGTGCACTTTCTAATGTAAGTTGGCTCAGAGTAAACGAATTTGGAGTTTTTGTGTATATTGACCTCACATAGTCGATTTTTTTTCAGTTAATAAAGTTCATTTCCAGTGTTACTACTGTAATATATTTCTGCCAGATCTAGTGATAAGTAATCAGTTCCCCTGAAAACCGATCGTGTTGGGAGAATAAAGTGCGAGACAACTGAAGAAATGAAGTAGTGGTCAGTTTCGCGAGACATATTTTCATATGAATGTCAGCTAATGGACACAAATAAGCAACCGCTTACAATTCAGTATGTTCACTTTCCTTCATCGGTTGTTAAAACAACATCAGTTCGATGAATAGTGCCACTCACTGATCACGATGCACGTAAACAACTGTAGTGATAATTGAATTTCATAGAACGTATTAAAAAGAACTAAAGTCTGTCCCCTTATTTTGCACGGTTATTTAATTAACGGTTGCTCATCTTTGAAATTTGGTCATTTACTTTGGGGGACTCATTCATTTGTATGTTTAATGCATATCGTATGAAACTTATCAATATTCGATTTGCTCAGAAAAA